CCAGCCCATTTCTGAATGATTGAACCACCAGCACGCAAAGTAGCACATAGCAAAATGGTATAAAGTCGTTATGCAGAAACACATAACGATCACAATCGTCAAAGAGATTATTCCGTTTTCTTGGCCGTGTTCTCACTGTTGAGTGGGTGAGAAATGGCACAAAACTTTTCATTCCGCTGCGTTTCCATTTTTTCCTACTCCGTCTGAATTCGGTCAACTTAGCCATGCTGTATAGTATCCGAATTCTTTGGAAACAGTATTCAATATTCGACTGTTTGCTGAGATGTTTAACAGTCGAGTCGCGTAATAATGACGGTGTGCTTATTAGCCCCACGCTGCCGCAGCATCCACATGGAGATGGAGTCAATTGAAGGCGCGAGTCTCGTTGACCCCATGCTATTCATTCATTGGGCATATCTCTCATTCCTTCGCTCCAGAGTGTATCTGCATACGCACATCTACATTCTCTAAGGTTTGGCAACATCTTCGAAGGACACTAATGCAAGGCCGCCCATTAGACTACTATCGTACTGTCGGCTATGGGCACAATATTAAATAAAGGCAAAAACGCTAATAATAGACCAGGGTAAAAATAAGTGACCTCTTTAGGATCTGTTTTTGTATAACAGCCATCTGCTACTTTTTATGATGGCAAAGAAGTTTGTATTCGAAAAGTTGAGCGATTTAAGAATAGCATTCTCACTGGGAGGTACCTTACATGTAAGTCAAACATGCTGTACGGGATTTTTTCACATGTTATCTGTGATGGTCCCATTACACATGGCCGCAACAGCTATCACCTTTAAACATGGTGATTATATGTAACGTTTCCGACAAGAAATTATCATATGGATCTTTTTGGCAAATCTTCAAGCCATGAAAGGAAATGGGAAATTTAAGAATTATGAAGTGTTTCTGCAATATTTCTTGTTCGTTTTACAATATTTCATGCATGAAGGCATGTTGACTGCCACGTGTAAACGGCAAAAGAAAGTGTTTGGTTTGAAAACAGCAACCTTTTCAGTATCAGCAAGATGTGAAGATAGTTTGTTTTTCCTGATATCTCCACACTTTCAATCGACTTTATTTCTAATACTGTTGCGAAAACTATGCGTTCAGAATATCATTCTTGCTTCCTTCAGTGAAACTTGAATTTTTAGAATCAGAACTTTCTGGACTGATCGACATTGACTGCAACAATTCCAACACGCCTATAATGGAATATTAGGTTCATAGACTTATTATAAGCTTTTTTTCTGTAACGAAAATGAGTCAGAACTCTATTTCCTCACAGTTAGTCCAAGTAGGGACGATCGCATTAGTTTTAACGATGCAGCGCCCACTCCCTCTCTGAATACCTTCCAAATATTGCGTTTGTGGTGAGGCTGCTGCGAAATTGTGTGGCGTGCTGGTGGGCTTTTTCAGAGTCCGGTTTTCGGTAGCTGAGAAGTACGAGCACATGACGACCCTACTGACTTTCATACAAAACACCACCGCTTGAGCTATCAAACGACGGACTGCAGACACTAGAAACTGGCGGCAGACGGACGTTCGTACAGAAGGCTAATGCGTGGAGCGAATTTCTGAAAACCGGTTCCCATGTGCCGCTAACACATACAATCGTAATTTCTCTCTGCCTCACTTCTATCTGCCATATATGCGGAACCTTCCGAGTTAACATTTTGGAATCGATTGCTCGGCCGAATAAAACACACGTGAAGTCACTGAACTTCGTCATACAAATCGCGAGCTGTTAATGATCACGGGGCACGATTGCCATCTACAGCGGGGATGATAACACAAAGTGATTTCCGTTTGTTCTTTCAGATTAACCAGTCTCTTTAACTTTTTTGCTACCACGTCGAAGCTTGAGGTTTAAAACACCGCAAAGAAGACATCAGATATTGTTTCGAAATTTCGTATCAATAATGAGTTCGCCTACTTTTTCATACGGAAGCTACATTTTCGAATAAAAGAAGTGTTAGTTTAACGGGATTGTGAGTTTTTGCTTTTCAAGCACGGTATAAAAAGCCACTAACAATTCACTGTATCCATTTTATACACCCAAAAAGTTTGGAACGAGGAGCTTAATTCATTGCTGTGATACACTGTAAATTCTTCGCCCACATTTCCTTTTCATATGATAGAGGAACTAATAGTTATTTTTGCATTACACAACAAGCAGGTTAGTGTGGATTCTGTGACAGAAAATAGTTAAATTACATTTCGCAGACCTTCTACCTACTGATGTCTTATGGCTTATGGTTTTGAATTTTAAAAGAATGCCACTTTGTTACTCTTAGTAACAACCCACTTCAGCTATTAGACCGCATGCAGAAAGATCGTGGCCCAATATACGATGAATAGTTTGCAGTGGCAGTTGAGTTCGTAGAAAGCATGTTAGTAACAGCTTAGAAAATTCTTGCCTTGTTCGAACATGCAAACACCGCCTCCTATGGAACTGTTCGAGAACAGTTTCCTTCTTACGACGAAAGACCAAATATTATGGCTTTAAATAATGTTAATTTTATACTGAACTGGATCTGAAAAGTGTTAAGATTGCAGAGTTTTTCTTGTTTCTATATTGTTGCTGAACACCTTCTGCTCAGACTTTTCTTCAATGTTATGGGAACACTACGCTTTCAACAATCTGAAGAGTCACGCGGTTGTTTCTTCTTCTAAGATTTAAACCTCTACTCTACAAGATATTCAGGTAAATCGCGTCGCACTACGTATTCATATAATCAATGCCTCCTCTCTGCTTTTTAAAAACAGCAATGTTAATGGATAACTTCTGGATTTACTTGTTGGACTGGTGTAGGTAAGTTGATCCCGGTTGTTGTAGCTGTGTGATAGTTCCCTCATCTTCCGCATCTTCCACTGAAGCGTCCACGGTACCCTTAGATCTGTCCGTGAGAAGTCGGAAGATTCTGATTGGGTGGGGCAAACGTGAGAGGCTATTGTACGGGCATTGGGCCAAGGCCGGCTCTGAGTGAGAGCCACTAGTCCTCATTAGCGTGCCGACATTCTCCGCGACCATGTATTTGTCTCGAGCAGTGACCAGTCTCGTTATCGTGTTCTTGCAAATAATTGTAAACCACATGCGTTATCACAATTTTTTACGCAAGATCAGCTTGGAACTAAATATATAATGGATAACACAAAAATTGCAGAAACAGCCCAAGAGTAAGCACAGCAAGATTGGGTAATTCGTCGATTTAATATGATAATCGCCATCATCACGCAAGTTTCTGAAAACTGGTATTGCCGAAACCTGGCACCGGTTCGCTGCTATTGATCCCGTCATCTAATTGCATGACTCCTGATTACCTTTATGTTCAAACCTGCTATCCTCCTACCTTTATCTAAATCTTAGCATCCTTTACGTGTCCGAAATTTTTTTCCTTTTTTTGTCGTTGCCGGCACTTAATCTTTTGCGATCAAGTATCTTTCGGCGAGAATCAACTGTTTTCCGTGAAATATCCTATACGACTTTGTGTTCCGTTTCTCAAAATTTTACATACATGTATACTTATATATATGTATATAAGCACATATATATATACATGTATATAGAAATTCCTCCTGCCTTATATTACATGGGCAAACTATAAAAAAGCAGTGTGACGTAAAAACCATTGCAATGTGGCCATAATTCATTGTGAGATCAGTGCATTCATCACGGTTTCTACTGTAACACGTCTCGAGCGTAGTGTTCAGTTTCGACAGAGTCGACGAATTGACGGTCCCTTTGAGGGTGGTCGCATCGGCCTTCTAGAATCTCGTTGCTCAAGCCGATCGAAACGAATTTCGCCCCACTTGAAAGCTTCATTTTACTATCTCCTTGCGGTTCTTCTATTGTGTCCAGTTAATATTGAACTACGTTTTCTACTTAATCTCTATTTCATAGTTCTACATTATCAACCAACTTGCGCAGAAGATTATCGTCAATGTTGCTCAACCGACTTTCGTGGCTTTGGAAACTGTTTGTGAGAGATTACCGACGTGTTATGTTATTATTGTAGCTCATTGACGCGATCGATCGTAAGCCGCGACAAGTTGTTTTCACTCGATGCCATGCTCGCAGTGAAGCGTCAGCGATTTTACAATGTATTCAGTTGAGCATCATGCTGCTCTCATCCGCTTTTGATAGCTTCAGAGCTCCGGATGTTCAGCATAAAGTGCACCTGATTACTGTTCAGAAGTTGGCATGTAATGACCAATTAATACTTTCCAGCGTTCTGCACAATTCTTGTCACTGTGTTGCTCCATGCCGGCAAAAAACGAGTTCTGACCATTTCTGAAGCATTACCTGTGATGTGCGAGCGTCGGCAGTCGCACGTACAGTAAGCATTAGTGCATCCATGTGACGATGCGAGAGCTGATGTTGTTACGTGGCCTGATGCTGGTGGTGGTGGCGGCGGTCGTTGTCATTTCAGTGAATCGATGGACAGTCACCCAGCTGCTGCTCATTCCTCACCATTCTACTTGAGATTGTTTGGTGGCAGTCTAGGTAGCACAGATAAATTCACATCATCCTATTTGAGCGTGTTTACTAGCAGCCTACGTAGCATGGAAGGCTATCGTTTGAATAGGTAAGGGTGTGTCGAGGTGGTGCTCAAACTGCTCTCAAGCTACCGTACGCCGACCAGCTTATTGACAGTAAACGGGCTGCGCTGGGTGTTTGTTGCGCTTTCCTGTCTCCTCATTGGCTATTATTCGTGTCTGTGTTACACATTATATCTCCCTTTCACACCCTCATTCGAGCTCTCCTTAACATTTCCGTTCCTGCTTTCTTTCTTCAACACGTTCCCTCACTTCCCTTCCTTCTCTTCTTCATTCAAACTTCCTGCCCCAACATATGATTAACACAGCCCCTCACCTTTCATCATTTTTGGTCCATTTTTCTTCTCCACATCACTTTCTCCTCATTACCTCTTCATCTACTTCACCACACTAACAATTTTGCCAAGTCTTGTAATACTCTATTTACAGATAGAATGCCGTATAGAGCCGAGTTAAAACGGCCAGATCTAAAAGGTGGGTGTACATACACGTAGCTTTTTTTTATCTGAAGCGTCTGTTGAAACCCATGTAAGCCACATTATTGTATTAAAAACAGTATGCGATCGAGAGCGTTCCAGGAGGAGGGAATTCCAAAGAAGGCCAACGAATTAAACATTCTTGTAACACAAATTATTCTAAAGTAGTTTAAATGCTATTAACGAACGACCTCATTTGTTTTGAGAGAAACAGTCAACGTCAACAAAATGTGAGTGTTGAATATTCTAAACTACTTTTTCAGGACAGTTTCCATGTTCTGTGTGTGGAAAAATCTTTTGCCATTCTTCCTCGCTAAGCAGGCATCGAATGCAAGCCCATTTCAAGAGTTACACTTGCACTCAGTGCAACCAAGAGATTTCAAGTGAGTGTCCACTGATAACATGAACAACCAAGAATTCCTTGTACATTTTAGTAAGAGTGTCTTTTCTTTATATTCACACCATCCAATTTATCGTTGTGCATTTTTATATGTATTTATGGCTGATTTTCTATGCCTTCAACGAACAATGTAAGAGGGAACTGACCATAAATACACTTTGTTTCCTAAAAAACAAAATTTCTCGCATTCTCTAGTTTCCTCTATAATAGGGGTCTCCAATATTTGGAATGTTCTTTTCTGTAGATAATTCTATTTTGTCTTGTATACGAATCTTCTTTCTCTTCCACATGTTCAGCATCGTCCATTAGGTGAGCTTCCGCCTTGCACAAAACTGGTTATTGTGATAGCGCTAGTCACTAGCCGAGAGCGCAGGACTGTCGCTTGGCACGGCAATACAACAGGGTGGGGGAGAATGATAACTGGCCGCCATTCCGCTCTACTTAGTTCGGATTTGTTCTTCCAGCTCTTGCCCTTGCATGGAGAATTACACACTTTCAAATGAACTATCCAATCTTGGACGTGTGAAAAGACTGAAGGTTCTGCCACGTTCTGTTTGCTTACAGTGCCCTTTTCCAAGCCAGCTTATCCACTACTATTTGTGCTCCTAATAGCCGTTTCGCGCGTGTTGTTTGTGTAGCCTATTAGGCTCTATAAAAGAGTACTGTATCGTGTTGGCTTAAAACTATATTCTTTGTAAGTTAGCTCGGAAAGCTTAAAGTTAGCAACTGGTCAAAGATTAACTGCCATTTTCATGAGAAAAAAAAACATTGCTGAAAATAAACTCCTATACACAGATTCGTGAACAACTTCATGACACCACAAGAAAACTAGTAACTGGAATCTATTTTAGCACTTTTATCCTACTAGCTCTTGACTGGTGCCATCCCAACTAGTTCTCGGGATTCTCATGCCAAACACTTCATTTTCAAAGAAGTTTGTACGACCTATAACGTATTTGAGCACTTCCATTTAAATTTTATTTCAATAGAACTAAAAGAACTGGAAAGGTTGCTCTATGCCAGACATAGTTTGAAGAAGCTTGGAGTTTTTGCTGATATAAAGTATTGCATGCAATCATCATTCAGAGTTTGTGCTTCCATAGAGTTTTCGGAAGTGAAAGCTCGTGATCACGCTCGTAAAAAACATTAAAAAATTTGTTCTCTTCCATGTTACTTTTCGTAGGTTTCTTCAAAACTATTAAGGTGATCAAATGTTTATGTAGGTTTAGATTATCGGTGGATTTTCAAGGATTTTCGTATACCGTACAGCTCGTTCAACTTGATTCACCCTGTTGCGCAACGTAGATGTCCGTCCACATCGTTCGGCGACGATCCCCCGCGACTGCTGTTTGCATAGCCTAATTGTAGCGGCTTCCTGTTATGGTCCCGTAAGAGGTCAGACTCACTGCACCCAAGGACGCCGTGTCTATTGCTGACCTCACCAAGTAATTACTCGTTTTGCGGACAGCGCACAATCTTAGCTGAAAGCAGACTATCCCCATTGGATTGGGGTACGAAAACCTTTTAACTTTTTATCAGTCTAAATTCTATATGTATGGTCTATGAATAATGATATTCCGGACTGATCTGGTTGAGAAAGCTTTTGATTCGCGCAGAAGGAGCAACGACGTGATCGGATAGACTGTCGAATGGTGATGAGTCGAAAGATGAATAAAAATAGCCAAAAAATGTCTATTTTTACTTGTAAAGCTGTACTATCAAGATTTTGGCAAGCTGATTTTAGGATCAAATATATTTTGAAGTCTAATTAAGTTATTAAGAGGTATATGAATCCTTGTACAAAACTCTCTCTTGAATTAGTGTTATATGGAGGACAACTGGGCTACACATTCGCACAGGTGCAGCTCTGGAACACCCGTCTGCACAAGGTCAAGGCTGGTGACGGAAGATGATAGTATCTACACAACATATCTTCGCGCGAGATTGATATAACCATGTGTGTTTACGTATGGATTGGGGAGCATTGACTACAAAGTAAGACCGAACGTTGTAGGTTCAATGTTGGAAATGTTGACTGTTTTAAGACGGATAGCAAGGCCTGTAGCTCGGAACTGTAGTCAGTGGTGAACATCGATCTACATCAGTGAGTGCCAATGAGGCTAAGACAACCATCCTCTAGCATCTTGTGCTTGAATCATCAGACAAAGCGCTCATTATGCACGCAGGGATCATTGTACAGTTACACGAGCAAAAATACACGCCACCGAAGCATTTTCCACGATGGCTGTTCTAGAATGCCTTAAATTTGCAGGGCTTAATTCCATATGCGAACCGCTTGGTGTTATGAAAAAGCTTTTAAGACGCAAACACGTCATGAAAGAATGTCGAAAAATGTAACCACTGTAAACTCTTATTGCATACTAACTGTAGACACAGCTAGAAAATCAGGATGTGGTTTAGTTTTATTCATCTAAGAACGTCGTGCGAAGTGCACCAGCGAACGAGAATCATCTCCATCCTGATAATATTTTGCTTAGCTTTGTCATGCTGTCTCTAAATCGAAAGAAAAGACGTGTGGAAAGGTGTTCATGCGTTAGCATGTTCCCTTTGCGTTACGTTTGCATTTAACATATGAAAGGTCTTTTAAAATATTCGTATAAAACAATGTTCAGTGAAAATCTGGTTCTATTTCCAAGCCAGTAATATTATTTTCCCATAACCTCCAGCAAAAAATCTTCCGGATTGAGCTGTTCTCGCAATAATCTTTGAGCACGACAGAGTGTATTAGAATCTCGCTTAACAGAAACTAAAGTTTGTTGTAAGGGTAACATTTGCCTTTACACGCCTTATTTTCGCTTCTGTAGTAACCACAAACAAACCTACCTTTAGTACATCTGCTATAGAACGTGCTTCATTTGCTTATAAAACGACAGCTAGAAACACTCAGAAGTAACCTGAAGTGTGCACACTATTACGAAATGTGTGAGATTTCCATCTTTCGCTTACGAAGTGTGAAATCATAATAACCTCAAGATTCACTTTTAGGTAATGAAACACTCCGCTCTCACATGTTTCGCATACACAGCATCTCGCGAATGTTCATGTGTCGCTGCTGTAACTGGGCATTCCCTGATAAAACCAGTCTGCACATTCACATGCAAAGCATGCTACGGAACGGTACCCCGGGTGAGGTGGCGATTCTAGCCAGAAGTTCAACTGAAGGTACAGTATATCAGCCAGTTGGTGCTCTGAACAAAGCCAATCCGGTTTTTTCAGATGATCCAAGCAATGCACTTGATGACACTTCGCTTGGTTCACCATCGTATGTGGCGGAGACATTGATTAAGCACCAATTTCTTCACCATAGCACTTGTAGTTCAAACAACAACCCCAACAACAATAGCAACAATAATAGTAATAACAATAATAATAATAACAATAATAATAATAACAACAATGTGAAAACAGCAAACAATAACGCTGGAGTCAACTCGATCTTTCCTGCAATTATGAAGACTGAGAGCCTCCTGACCAAGATGAAAAAAGTAGGTATTTTAAACATTTCTTACCAGTCACGTGTTAACTTAGCAATCCATGAAAATTCTGTTTATTTATATTGAGTTTGAACGAGAGTCTAGTTTTAAAAATGTAGGTTTTTCAGGTTCTATGATAAGCCTGAACTTTATAGTAAATTTTTAGGTACTTTTCTCTTGCTCGTTTTCTGTTGTTGTAGAGACACTCACATTTATATTTATTAGGATGCAAGTGTCTTCTATGAAATCACGTAATAGCACATTTTTTGATAGCGCAGTTTGGAAAAAACCTATTACCACATTGTCCTTGCGGTTGAAGAGGTACACTGTTGTAGAGAATGCACTATCATAAGGTCACCAAGTATCATAAATAGACATTAAAGAAATGATGGCGTTTTAATTGAATTGGATTCTCATTTCTAATATAATGAAGCCTTGGTGTGGTGATTCCGTTGTATTGTTGTGAAGCATATCTCCTTTTTCCAATCAGGAACAATTCCTGTCACCGATTGACTTAACGGCTTTATCATCTAACCAGTGGTTATCAGCATGGCTTGCGAACAATCCGTTTGCTCCCAATCTCGGACTTAGTCAGCAGCAACCAGGGGCAACAGCTGGTGCCTCCGAAACAATGTTGGGCACGGTGAGCTACTAGTGTTCCTTCGGCATCAAAAGCATATTCGCTAATTTCTTTTCTCAGTTGCATTCGACGCTCTCTGAAGATGTAGATTATGACGCCCTGGAGATAAGAATGGAGGACGATGATCTGCACGATGGGGAAACCAATCACAATACAAGTCCAACAGTACGTGAAACCAGCTCTGAAATACAGAAGTTTAATCAGCCAAGTCATTCATAATCTAGCACAAAAGTTGCCATGGGAAATCGTCTGAAGTATCATAGAACGCGTAGCGCATGCGTAGCACTATTATCTACAGATACTAGGTACTAGATAGGCTGATCTAACTCACTAAACAGTAGCATCAGATATTTAAATGATTTCATACGTTGTTGAACAGAAAATGTTATGTTCTAGTCTGTGATTGTTGACCCGTGTTGCTTGTCAGTGCGAAAGGGCGAGGATGCTCGTGGCAGTCAGAAACGAAAGGCCACTCGACCTCAACAAGTTACCGATATGATGCATATAGATGTAACTGTTAGTGTGAGAGCCGTTTCGTTTTTTTAATTTTTTTCAGTTAAAATCTATAAAACAGTTCAGAATGAGCATCTAAAGCAACCTAACTCCACTAGGATACCTAATCTAAGGTTTTGTTGACATTTTCATTTGAATCCATTATTTCACATCTCTAACGGAAACAATTGCAACCATTCCTTTAAAAAAAATTGCCGTCTCTTACTGCTGTTTTAAAATAATTAAGCATTCGATATCAATATCTTATTACATGATCTGACACCACATATTGCACGAGTCCTAGCACTTCTTGCCTTCGATCCGTTTCCTCGCCTCCATGGTCCACGAAAACCTTCGGATTTGCGCTTGAATTTTGCTGTTGCTTAAGTAATTATTGCTCTTCATGAATGCCGTTGAACGCCGGTTGAGTGGATTATCTCTGGAATTCTTGGATAGCTGTCATAGGGGGTTCCTAAACTAACAACAGAGGTATTCGATGGGCTTCCTGAATTGGTAAAGCATTTCTCAGACAAATCTGGTGCTAATTTAACCGCGTAATCAGGCGATTAGCCTGGGATGGGTTCAAACCAGCGGTCTTACTGAACGGCATTTGTAGCAATGCGTAACGCACAGCCCATGAAATTTTGAGTGCAGGTTGTCTGATAAAAACCGGAAGTAACTATTTCGAACCACTACTGCGATATTTTCGAATGCAGTATTCCAGTATTTGTTTCTAAGTCTCCAGACTTATGCTCTATTTAAAGTTGATTTTTTTAATCTTCTCTCCAAAAAAAACTATAGTGGGGCATTTCATTTTAAGTTTTTTGCCTATTAAGTTTACACTTAGCACCTAGGTAAATTGGTAGTGTCCTGTTTAGCGAAAGAATTTCGCATTCTATCAAGTTCGTGTACGGCTTTTACATCCTAGTGTTCTCGAGGTGCTCTGCAAAACACACGTGGTCGTTGGTTCGATCTTGCGTTCATTGCTCACCAAGCCTTCCATCCTTCCTGGATTGGCAAACTAGTGCCAGTATTATTTGAAGGGATAACAGCACTGATTTGATACATTGGTAGACCACCACAAGTCACTGCATAGGCGCTGTATACAATTAATCACCTCATTGCTTGATAAAGTCGAATGCCTGGTCCTTATCTCAGGGATTGATCAACGATGGGAGTTTTATTCTTCATGCACTACGTTCATTTAATGGGCAAATCGCTTTTCTGTAAATTCCCTTGCAGTGTGAACCCCCATGCAAGTTGTCGGCAAACGTTAAAGAACTGGAGCAACCTTCTCCAACTGTGTCTGATTCACATATAAGTGGTACAAGCAGTCAGACTGGAGATGGGCTTGGAAAATGTTTCGACTGCCAGGTTAGTTTGCTGTGTAGGCTTTGTCCTTCAGTTTAAGCGGTGAACGGAGGAAATACTTCATTGTTCAGGTTGTTAAGGAGAAACTGAACGCTTCACAATCGAAAATGCTGGAGTATGAAGAAAAGATCAACCACCTCGAGGCGAAAATCGTTCAACTTCAACGCAACGCAAGCGAAAGGCGACAATCCGGAAACGATGATGCTAATCTCAGTGAAGGAAATATTGATCAACCGCAAGTCGTGGTTAGTGAATATTAATTCTTATTATAATGCATCCACGATGTCCTTCTTTAGGAAAATGGAGCGAAAGTAATCATCTTAAGTCCTTAGTTATCGTTTTCTAGCGCTTAAACAGGTGCAAGGATTGTACGAAGAACTAAATGCAAAGCAAATAAGCGAGCAATGAGAGCTAGGAAAGCTTTCCTTTCGCTCTTTTTTTGCGTAAAAAAATTTAAAGATTGTTTACAGTTAAAGTATCTGCTTCGACCAAAAATAATTTATGTGTGCTCTATTGCATTTCGAGAGTAGTGAGCTACAATAAGTTTAATTGTGACAGCTAATTCTTAAGTAAGGAAACAATTGCCTTTAAGTATAGGTATTTCGCATTATAGACGCTGAGGTGTATAACATTAAAGCAAATTATAATGCTAACGGGTAATTGCTGATGGAAAAAGATCGATAGAGCTAGCTGAAAGACAGGCGAAACGAAGGACCTGCATGGTGTGATGGTGCACGCGTTACTTCCCGGAAAGGACAATAGTGGACAATAGACACCTGCGGTTCGGAGTTTTCGAGATGTCTTAGCATTATAATGGTCATATTTCGCAAAATACTCTGCCGTTAAAAAGAATAGGCAGTAAATAAAAAGGTTAAGATTAAAGCAAATATTTGGAAAACTGTGTGTGAAAGCTTCCTTTATATTCCAACCAATTAAATACTTGCATTTTTTGCCGATATAACTGGGAATGTCACTGAATGGGTGTCATCATGTAGTTGGTTGTGTAGGACAGTGCGAAATGCTTCAGATCGATGGAAATCATTTGATGTTCGAGGGTTACTACCTGCATGTGCTCTGATTTTCAATTACCCTTCACTGTATTATGGAAGTGACGATGTAGTTTTCTTAAAGGTTAAAAGGAAGATATCATTCTATATAAGTGGAATACTTAAAATAGTTTCAGATGCCGGCGATGCCTGCTGTCGCATTGTTCCCGCAGTTTCCACCTCCGTTGCCTTTAATACACAATCCAGCCGTGAAGATTTTTCTTCATAACCTCATGCAATCTCAGCTTAGTCGATCGTCGTGTTAGTCAGGAAGTTGCTGCTTTAAAATCGGGCGCTATCTGTTGAAGCAGGTCAGAGGTAACACCTACTATACTTAGCTTTACCTGTAATACGGTCACCTCCATCTTTTAACTGCAACACAAGGCTCAACACAGCGCTTTATACAGATTTTTAGAATACCTCTCATTGTAAGAACTACCATTCAATATTTATGCTATGGTAAGTAAATGTGGACTAGAACTTATTAACCTCGTCAAAATATAATGTTATTCCCATGTGCAGCCCTCTGCATCTTTATGGACAGCGAAAAATTTGATTTAGGAATGATTTTTTCCCCAATTCTTACTTCCTGAAATGATTTTTATGATATGATCAAAACTGGCTTAGAGAAAACAGAAAAAAACAGCAAGCAATTCAATTATTACGGAAACGAATAGCTGGAAAGATCGATAAAATGTCCGTGTTGAGTGATTGAATAATTGGACCGAAGTGTTTTATCTTCTTCTTAGAAGAATCCGTCCAAACTCACTTGCAAATTCAATGCCTTTTTTAGGGGCAAGACGAATATATTGGCCAGCGAATTTCGGACAGTGTACTGAAAAATATCTCCGTCAACGTCTGTGAACGCTTGCGCTTAATTCGTCTCTTTGTTAAATTGAGATCGTTGTAACTGTTCCACTGAATTATTATCTTGCAGCTTCCTATGCATAGAATGAGGTACTAGAATAGGAATGCCTTTCACACAGCTATTGTTATTTTTTTTCCAAACAACTGTATTAACATTATGACTGAACTCACATTGAAATCGGGAGTCCAGACGCACCGCGGTAGACCAGTAGGTTTCGTACTATTCCATTGTTTTTTTTCTTCGTATCGGGTAGTACTCTTACACTGCATTACGTTTTAGTATGCTCGTTATTATGGAGTGGAACCCTGTCAATTCTGTAGCAATTTTGTGCTTATACCAAATGATTCAGTTCAATTATTTATTTGAAAATAAAGCGTTTATTAAAAGTGAAAACTGATTTGCTTGTACTAAACGGGGAAAAAAAGTATAGGATATGTGAAAAATAGTTTTTCATAACACTAGCACCAAGTGAGCGTTTACTGCCCTTCGCTGCGCACTTTAGCACAATGGTAAGCAAACGAAACGCCAAAGTGCCAACGAAAACATCTTGTCCGAACAGAACTCCATAATATTACCGTTGTCGAGTGAGGTTGCTTCATTCGTTAATTATTCCATTCCATCGGATTCCAATCAGTGTGAATAGAAACACATCTCATGAAGCACCTGCTATGGATACCCAGTTCAAATTATTGCGTTGAATCTTAAGAAGGCAAAGTCAGCGAAACGTTACTCACAGTAAAGAGTTTCTCGTAACAGCCACGTGTAAGCTCCCTAATAAAACAAAATATTGTTGTTGCAATTTGTGGTATTATCTGCTTTAAAGCGGCGACTGCACAGTGATTGGAGGTGCAATACAGACGTTGTTCGTAGGATCATTTCGGTGCCTAGAGCTCATCAAGCCTTCCATCCCTGCAAGGTTAACAGATTCGTGCCACAGTTGTCTGGAAGAATAGCAGTACTGACTTGACCACCGCAGATCAGTGTATAGGTCAGATATGCATTCAACCACCTCTAAGCGTTGCTTAATGAAGTCGAATGCAGGGGGCATTCCTCAGTGATCAATCAACGCCAACGGCTTCACCCTTATTAATTTCTTATCTGCGTCTGATTGCATCATTTTGCCTGCGTTATGGCGAACTCAATACTTCTTTGCAAATAGTAACTACTTATCGACGATCAGCTCTTTGTTACGACTTAGTTTCCGGATACCTGTTGTTATATGTAGTATTCTGGTCCATATATCACACATCGCGCTGTCTTAACAATCCCCTGTCATGTGAGAAAGCAGACAGAAATCGAGTAGCTTCAGAAAGCCAGTAGAAAAGTGGAAGCCTAAAAGAAGTTGCTGAATGATTTGATATGTTCATGGGAATCCTCGTGGAACTAGCCGTAACTTATCTACATGTCTTCGTTGAAAGAGTCACCAGTGCATTTGAGTAATGAAGCATCATGTTTATCAGAGGCTCGACAGAGAGTATTTATGAAAATGATTTAGTCAAACTTCATTCCCTATATATTCGAAGGCATTCTTAACCATTATTTTATCTTTTTAGACTTTCAACTTAATGCAACCTCGTGTATATGAAGTCTAAATAGACTTACATCAACATATGTTTAAAATGTTGAGCTAACACGAGGTTGGTAATGATGTTTATTCGGCTAACATTTCGACGGTTTCGTCTTCATCAAAGCCGATGATCCCAGTCGATGGTCTAAAGTTGTTCGTGCTCACGAGGTGGCTTCTTCATTCCGCATCGAGCTGGATCTTCCCAAGTGGAGTATCTCTCCCGAATGAACCATGCGGTGAGCTCGATGGGCGACGAAAACGCCACCTTGAGAACACGAACAACAATGGACCATCGACTCGGATCATCGGTTCTGATGAACACGAAACCGTTGGAACCTTAGCCGAATAAACATCATTTATCAACTTCGTGTAAGCTCGAAATTATAAACACGTGTTGACTATTATGCAACCGAGGTTGAAAGACTGTCGGTTTTAAAATTCGATGTTTTTCTTCAATAAGCAGACACGAGGTTGTTATTATTTATTATAATTGAAGAATTGAAGAAAAACATCGAACTATCAATCAATGCCGAGGTTAAAAGAAAGTCGGTCGTAGGTTTTAAAATTGTTGTTTAGCATTTCATCTTTAACTCTTTCGTGACAAAGCAGGTTCTTCGATAACTAACGATAAATTCTCGACCACTGGAGCATTTTAAGCGCTCAGAACTGCATAAATTTATGGAAAATTTCGTTCTGTCGAAAACCGTATGAAGATCTATCTATACAACTCAAAAGACCGACTTTTTATGAACCTCGTCATAAATAATCAACGTGCTTATTTATATCTACTTACAAACCGCCCGTGTTGAGCTGATGTCAGGTTGGTTTGTTATTGTTGTCGTTTTCGTTGGTAGACGGCCGACATTTCGATGATTTCGGCTTCCTCAGAGCCGTTCTCGTAACAGCATAGCATTGAAGAAGGCGAAACGACGACGACAGCAACAACGCGAACAACAACAACGACAAAAGCGACAAGTCATACCAGTCTTGCATCAGCTCAACAAGGGCAGTTCTCGTGGAAATATATATATGTATATTTGTTTATTTAGCTATTTACACAGTGCGCATTAAAACTGAAATTTTTGGAACGAGAAGTTTCAAAAAGCCAAGACCAGCAGCTGCGAACATTAACGATAGGTCGGAAAACTCCAAAGTCTCATTCGGGATAAAAGCTCGCTAGTTCATTTGTTCTGGTGTCTGAAAAGTGAGCATTGAACGTATAAAGTGGAAGGAATAAATGCCATGCGGTCCAGAAAATCACAAATTCATCGCGGTGAAACGAGCGTTAACCTTTTGAAGGTGTAGTATTTTTGATCCGCACCGCAGTCACCTGAGGACCGGAGTTTTGCTGCTGTCTCAGCATTATTGTGGTTACAATAGAATTTCTAGTACATAAGAAAATATCTCCAAGTTCCAATACCTGTCATTCAAATTAATGATACTTACTATGAGCTAAAAAATACTAATTTAAAGTTGAAAGGCACCATCACTTTTCTCGTTTTAGGGGTCCCCTAGAGCTCACATCGTTTCGTAAATGTAACAATGTAACATTTTTTATGGAAGTAAACGTATGCTGTTTAAAAACCTCGCGATTGCTGAACAAGAAAACGACAAATTCATATTCCAATGCCGAGGTTAATAGAAAGTCGATCCTGGGAATGTAACAAGCTTCAACTTTGTTTGCAAACTGTCAAACCGATGTACTGAATTCAGCACATTAAACAGCACAGCACAGATTAAACAGCACTGACGCCTTTATGTTACTATTTCAGAAGTCTAGGAAGCTCGTTATAAAGACGAATCCTTGCACTCAAATGAGGAGACTTCTACATGATCTAACAAAAAGCACAGAAAACTCTCACATATTCCAAGTCATTAATTGTTGTTACACCACAACCAGTAGCACGGTAATTTCCAATAAACCATCACTTGTAACAATTGAAAAGGGGTCTTTCAAGAAAATGTTATGATGAAGAATAGCAGCTGTCTGCGACAATTCTTTGATAATGACGGGAGAAAATATCACAATATGTAACCACTCCTTATCGAAAAGTGGTAAACAATTTGAAAACAGAAACGAGTCATTTATTGAGAGAAGGCCGTTAGTGGCAAATTACGTCTGAACGTTGATGTCGTCGTTGAACATCTCCAACAGATGACGAGTTTGGAAGTACAAGCCTAACCGGTCTCGACCATACTCCTGAATCATGGGTTATAACCTAGCTCTCAGCACAGCTAAAAAATAAAGACGGTTTAGAAAATAAAGAAGCTATTTGGAAAACTTTACCGCAAATCCGAATCCTACCGGTGACAACTCGACTTGTAGAAGACCCCAAACACCCCAGAAAAAGTGGGAAACAGGAACAAATGGAAGGGTCTCCTGAAATAAATTCTGCTAAATAGACTATGAACTAGGTTAGGATAAAGAAGGGATATACGGCAGCATTTCGTGGTCCCATATTTCACACACATTTCCTTTCAATAGATTGTACCAAACAATATAAACGTTCAGTGATAGTATACTAGTCATGAAATCAGAACTCTCAATCTAACAGACTGCCAGTAATTGGAAGTCACAACTGATAATTGAATAGTTCCCATAACAATGTGCAAATGACGAAAACAATAAAAAGACCACAATCCACTGTTGCTAAGACAAACTGAAGTGCAACATGACACTTTCTGATGATTTGTTAAAGTTAGTTAAACTATGAATGTAGGTTGTCATATACAGAAGGAAGAGTCACTGAGCTATTGCTTCATTCTTTCGAATGAAATTGCTACCAACTAGCAGTATGTGAAGACTTTGAAGGGAGGGTTAAAACAGTTAGGGTAGAGAGAAAGATTGGGATTTGTGCTTATCATTAGAAAGAAGGCCTATCACCTGTACTACCTGTAGTTCCGCTTATTATCAAGTGTCTCGAGCATGCGCCAGTAAATTTTCCATTTTTCTCTGTCGCGTGCCAGAGTTACCCAGTGGGTTCTGTACGCCTTTGGGACTCGTTGAGCATCATACATTCCTTCTAGGCTTTTCATGAAAAATTCTGACCACCGAGTCGGTGGACTTCCTAAAACCCATCTTCTACATCGGATATCGCTCATACGCTTCACGTGTCCAGCCCACATCATGTTCGAATGCTCGGCGTACAAAGTGGCATCTTTGATATTTCATCGTTGATGCAGGTCGGATCTTCGGGTCCCGTCTTTTAAACGTGTGACAAGGGATAGTCCTAGCCCTTTCGACTGCTCGTTCTCAGCGATGAGTGATCTTTCATCCTGTTTAAACAGCAACCAGGTTTCTGACGCATAGGTTAAGGCAGAAAATACCGTTGAGTCGAGAACGTGGGTACGGAGTCGGATGTTCCTTGTCCCTTTCACTACATTCTAGATGTTCTTGAAAGCTTCTCAGGTTGCTCATTTTCTTCTGCTAAACTGTGGAGATAAGCCCTTCATCATGTCGATTTCCCGACTTAGATAGACGTAACTGGAGCATTCGCAGAAATTCGTTCCGTTGACCATGAATGGGGCACACGAAACCAATCCGTTCTTCATGAACATCGTTTTCGTGAGATTTAGTCGAAGACCAATCATTCCATAAGCTTTGTCAAAGTTTGCAAGCATTCGTTTCGCTTGGCTAATGTTTGGTGTTATAAGGACGATGTCATCAGCAAAGCGAAGATGGTGTAACTACCGACCGTCGACTTTAATCCCAAATTATCCCATTCCAGTGTTTGCATGACGTTCCCGCAGGAGTTGGTAAATAATTTCGGCGAAATGGCATCTCCTTGCCTAACCTCTCTTTTGACGTCGATGCTAATATCCTAACCATTTTATTTACTGCCTATTCTTTTTAACGGCAAAATATTTTGCGAAATGTAACTATTACAATGCTGAAAAATTTGCAAAACTCCGGACCGCAGGTGTATGCGATGGGGAACGAACGCGCTATTGCCCTTTCCGGAGAGTAACGCGTTCACCACCACACCATGCGGGTCCTTCGTCTCACCTGTCTCTCAGCTACTTTAACCTCAGCTTAACTGGATTCAATGACGATTTGGGCTGTCCAGATCAATCCCGTTGACGGGTGATTGCTGATGGCAAAAGATCGATAGAACTAGCTGAGAGACAGGCGAAATGAAGGACCCGCATGGTGTAGTAGTGAACGCGTTACTGCCTAGAAAAGACAATAGCGCGTTCGTTCTCCACCGCAGACACCTGCAGTCCTGAGTTTTGCAAATAATTCAGCATTATAGTAGTGATGTTAATATCGTTGTAAGATGGTGATATCTTGGCTGTGAAATTTTTGTACAGCTCACGAAGAATCTTTATGTATTGAGTAAAGACTCCTTGACTATCAAGGGCTTCCATGACTGCTTCTATCTCAATTAAATTAAAGGCCTTCTGTAAATCGATGAAGGTGAGACCGAGCAGTCTTTTGTACTCTTGCGATGCTTCAATGAGCCTTAGTATTGTGGGGATGTGATCCATCATACTGAATCCTTTTCGAAAACCTGCTTGCTCCCATGGCTGTCCTTCGTCCAATGTTCTGCCAATCCGGTTTAGGATAACTCGAGTGGGAAATTTGTACACGACAGCAAGCAAGTTGGGCAGTAGTTGCCGACATCATGGAAGTCACCCTTCTTCAACAATAACACGATCTCGCTAGTTTTCCACTAAGTATGAACCTTGCATTCTGACAGGTAACGTGTGAACAGCAGAGTCAGTGCGTTCACAAGAACTAGAGGATGGTTCTTCAGGTATTCAGATCTCATCCTGTCCGAACCTGGTGTTGTTCTATTCTTCACCGATTGAACAGCATGTCGGATTTCAGAAGAGAGAACCGTTGGTACGACATATCCATGGTCGTTTATTTTATATGAGTTTAGAAGGATCGGCCTATTGAAGAGGTCTGAGTAGTGACCGTGAATGATTTCCTCCATTGTCTTTCTGGAAGTTGTAATTGTTCTGTCTGGGCGTCGAAGTGTGGTTCCATCACGGTTTTGCAATTGCCAAGCTTCGGTGGGCTTTGCAAGTGCTTCTTCAAGCTTCTACAGTCTCAGCCATAACTGATGTCCTTTTCTTTTTAAGATCTTCCTTTATCGCCTGTCCGCATTGTTTTGCGAGTACGGATGTCATTTGGCTGTTGCCTGTAGCCTGTGCGATTCCACGTTGGCGTGTCAGCTCCAGTGTTTCTGGAGATAGACGTCTCTTGGTGACTTTCGAGCTCTCGGCTTTTATAGCGCTAATGTGAAAATATTGAACGAGCCGATCTATTCTTCGTAGATGTTATCGAGAAAGGCATCACCCGACAGCCGACTAGTGAATTCAATAAATCTCAGTTTATAGAGGCTTCGGTACTTCGTCATTTGAATTTAGTGGGTTTTTCACTTTCCCACGAGAAGTGAAATCTTGCAAGAAGAAAACGATGGTCTGATCCTGTGTAAACTTTTGAGACAACAGCGACATCAGTAAGGCAGAACCTTCAGCTTACTATAATGTTGTCTATTTCGTTATTTTACTCTCCACTGAGAGACTCCCACGTCCAGCGTTAAGGGTGGGGGTTTTTAAACTTCGCTTTACCATAAATAGTCCTGGTCGTCATGATAAACTCAGCAGCCGCTCACTCTACTCGTTCCATTCTAACTCGAGGGTCCCAATGTGACGTTCTTCAGACGTTCTTCTTGCTTCAGTCTTAGTGTTAAAATCTCCAATGATGACCTTGTAGAATATATGGTCTTCCCTGCAGAAGTCGGCCAAGTCCATGCAGATCGCTTCGACTTCTTCTTTGTCACAGTTTGATGTCAGCGCGTAAACGACGAAGACTGTCAGTGCCGGTATTCAGTCACATCTCTTCAATCGTAAACACCCAATTCGGGTTACTTGTTGTTCGAATGGATCGATGTTCATGAGCAAACTCGTGTTGACGAGAACGCCGAAGACCTTTCTACCAATGCATCTTCCGAAGGGAAACTCTTCTTCAGTGTCACAAACGACGTTGAATGGGTGGCGTTGTCCCGTCTCGGCCAGTCGTCTTTCCATAACCTTCTTGCTTACATGATCAAGTCTTCTATCGACAACTCAGATGCACGGGTGCGTCCATTGTAGGTACAGATCGTTACCTTAGTCCTTTGCGATTTAGGCAGCTTAGAATGACCCTGAGATTGTGGCGGCCTCTCCATACTCTATCCAACGCTGCTAAATCGCAAGCTTTTTCAGAGCCAGGGAACGGGGCCCATTTCTTTTACTCTGTTTAGCTTTTTGATACCTATGTATAGCTTGCTGAGCTCTGAACGTGGAGGCTGGGTATACTTGCGGGTGGCCTGCCAGTCTCTCCCAGAGCGGACGTGGATCTTGTTTATCGGAGGCGACTCCTAACCGCTTCCCATATGCTTCTCTGTCACTTTATTGCAGGCTTTTGGCCAAATTGACTCATAGAATACAATCCCGGTAAACGAGAAAACACCCACGCACACATGCATGGATACGCCCTCGTAAATACAGAAGGCATGTGCCAAATCGGCGCAGCAGAAACATGGAGTACATCCCCTGAATCCATCTGCGTCTCAGGGAAGCAGAGGTTGCTTCTGGCCCGCGACTAACCTCCTATCCGTCACCTGGGTAACCGTTTCTAGATCCCTCATATGAAGGAGATCCGTGGAAGACAGCCCATGGAATGAATAAATGTAATAGTGAAGGAAAATTATAAGGTGTTGTGTTTTTCGAAATTTTTCCAAACATCCCACTAACGCACATCATACGATAAGTACACAAGTGAAATTTTACCTTTACCAATTTTTCTGCCTTACTATTAAGCTGAGATTCAGAAGTATCTCCAAACTCCCGTAAGTAGCTGATGAAAAAATTGATAATCTGAAATTGTGTTGTTTTATGCACACATTATAAGCGAAGTCTATAATTCCCATTCTGGATTCTCAAATCGGTTGGCTCTGGATTCTACAGACTTTGCAAAACAAGTTTTCGCTGCAAATTCTGATGCTTTGATGAACAAAATTTTGTACTAGCTATTACTACGCATCCTTTTCGCCATTATAATAAAAATAAAAGAATAAAGCCCTCGGAGTTGACCAACCCCTGAGGGACACACCACGCATTCGGCTTCGCTAATCATCGTTTGGAGGTGATTGAATGCATATCTGGCCTTTACAATGACTCGTGGTGGCCTATTGATGTATTGAGCCAGTGCTGCTATCCGCCCAGAGAAATCTGGTACCAGTTTGCCGACCCCGGAGGTATAGAAGGCTTGGTGGGCCATGGGCGCAGAAATTGATTCCACGTGTGTGTTGCAGGCCGTCACCGAGCACTATGCTACACGCCCCCTTTATAATTATAATAATTTCAATTTTCTTTCCAACGCTTAAAAATTTGGAAACCATTCGTGCAAGGACTTGCTACTTCGATGAGCTGAGATTTCTGATCTAAGTGACCAAAGTAATGAGATTTCTGATCTATGTGAAGCAATAATAGCTATTACTGCACAACAACTGTCAGTGATTAACATTGGTTATTGCCATAGTTAAAGCGAGAAGTTGATGAATATACGACACGTATAAACTTTTGTAACTACCCGCTCATCTTCAGGAAACTGTTCTGGATATATCTGATAGTGCGGGTGTTCTGCAACATCGTAGTCAATTGTATATTCAACAAAATGGTTTGCGAAGTCAAATCCTCTGAAAAGTGGTGCATCGTTGTGTTAACATAAAGAACAACATAATAACGTCATTTACCTATAATTATAGCTCGCATACTCGAAATCTATTAGCACTAATCTAGGATCAGCTGGATTAGAAGCTGCAAGACTTAACGATGCAACCGACTCTTCACAAATTGACGATTGCCGAATATTTCCAGAGGATGCCTTTGGTAAGAGAATATTTCCTGAAAGGTGTGAATATCAGCAGCAAGTGCTTTGCCGTATTCGATTACAAGAATGTGTCAACCTTCTTGAAGATCGTTGTGGCAGAACCTTACAGGGCTCCTGCTTTTACTAACCATTGTTCTAAAACCAGAAAAATGGCAAACGGTATGTTTGACATAAATTGTCTAGTCGTATAATAGTCAACTTGCCTTAAATAATCAAGTTCTCGTGCGATATGTTCGCATGTCAAAAATGGTGGAGCCCATTGGGAATATCGAGAGGGTAAAATGAAGGAGTTCTGGCCAGTTGCCGTCTTCATCAATTGGCACAACCAGCTGAAATCTATGTGTAAAGCTGTCGTACCTGATCATAACACAACTAAATGCGTTTTTCTCATGTTTACGCAAATTCTGCAATGAATCACTTTCGGTTTTCCTAACCTTCATGCTTCGGATTACATTCAGACAAAATATGCGGTTATCCATAGATACTTCCTTTTATGCGTCATTAAATTATTCATTTTCATATTCGACATTTAAAAAAGACAAAGGATAAAACTATTCGTATTGAACGATTCCTGAGGAATGCGCCATGCATTTGACTTCATCAAGGATCGTTAGAGGCGATTGAATGCATATCTGGCCTGTACAATGACTCACAGTGGCTTACCAATTTATCGAGTCAGTGCTACTATCTTCCCGCACAAGTATGATACCAATACGCCAACCCCGGAGGGATGTTCGGCTTGGTGTGCCTGGGGCACGCGATCGATCCCATGTGTAGCCACGCCTCTAACCACTGCACTACATGCGTCGCAAGACAGATCACTTTAGGTTATTTAAAGGTTGAAAATTCATACACAGTTGCACTACTTCCTCTATCCGTAACATTAATTAGTTGTTGGCCAATGGATTACCGCCTCATCATAGCTGGTGACATGTCTAGATCGCAAATTGCGATGTAGAGCGAGTGGTTCGTTCCTCACTAGGACACCCTCAACTAGAGAGTAGTTTGCTATTTACATCTGGCATAGGCTAATGTCAAAACTCACTTTTCCGTGAGTAATTTACAGCAGACCGCGAAAAGACCAAGATACTTTGGTTTTATGACGATTATGTGTGCATTATCATTCACCTACTGTTACCTATCACTTCGAATCAAACAAAATTTTGTCGCAACACGTACCCATATTCACGTTGCGAACGTGGTGGGTTCCATGAACTCAGTATGTGCAACTGATGACGATGAATTAAAAAACGTTCTCTCATATACGAGTTTGAGAATGTGATCCACAACGAAAATTCATTTCACATACGAGAGCAAGACCAGAATAAAAACCGTGTTTTGAGCCCTTGACAATGGCATAGTTCTTCAACGAAAAATCATTTCCCGAGAAGAAGGTAACTTGAAATTAGGCGTCCCCTAGTAACAAGATTCATGCAGAGATCGGTCATATTTTCTCAAACGAAAGATGGTGCCTTATCGATACCTTGGCAGCTGCATCGTTAAGTTTATTCCAGATCGCAGTTTGTTCTTTGCGGAGATGCACTTCAATGTCAAAAAAGAAAAAAACTGTTAGCGAAAATAACAGTGACGAAACCCTTTCCCCACGTGGCAGAAAAGTCGGACTCGGCAAATTACTTCGCTGTCGATAAGTCGGTCAATTAATAATCGCAAGAGTCGATGCGGTCCTGGTAGAATTATGGTCGTAATATAGCAAAACTTCCTCCGACTCATAGAAGACCACCTCGGGATTCCAAAGTCCTTCGATTATTCGACGATGGCGATGTAAAAGGCCCAATCCCGAAATCGTAATATTCAACTGTGAGACATTCGAGATATAATGGACGTAACGCTTGAGTTGCTCTCAGATATGTTTAGAATCGTAGAGAGAACGAATTTAGCCAGTATAAAAAAATACCTTGGGGTTATAGAGAACATAATTGACGTTATCGACTCTGAAAACTGGAACTGCTGCTATTTTCAAACACAGTGTGAAATTAATAATGGAAAAGCCCCATTCTGATCTGCTTCATTTCAAAACTGCTCTACCAAAGCCCATACCTTTAATCTAGAGAAAACTATCACAGGTTCCTCTTCTGAGGCCCTAGTTATGAACAAGAGCGTAAAGTCTACATAAATTTCTCGAAGCCACATGACAACACTACACTACTTACTTGTTTATTTATATCATCCAACATCACATATTGTGCCTACCAAAAACTTGTTTCATTCAAGTTGTTGTCTCGCATTCGTCATCCACAAATGTCTTCGATTTTGCTTGCGAGTTCTGGTACTACATAATGATTTTCTTTTCCCTAACAATATCGTAGAATTTCAATCGAAATAGTGACTCCTAAAATCCCAGCATACTTCTATTAGAGCGTTACCAGGTCTTCATTACTTCGTTAACCAGTTGTGTGGTCAAACGAGAGCGCATTGCATAGCATTCTCTAATAATCGCGCTTCCACCTTCCATACACTGCAAAATACCTTCAAGAAAAAAGAATCACGGATGAGTGGGAAATCTCGCGAAAGACCATTATTCCCAAGATTACTGAGCAAAACGATTTTTGCAATTACAACCCGATTTACTTGGTGCTCTACATCTTTTCTCGAAACGCGCCTATCAAAAATACTGGGTGATGCTTAACAAGTTGAGCAAGCATAATCTCAATACGGACCCTATAGCATAGATAATATCAAAACTATGCTTGAAATTATAGACCGCCGAAAGCGCCAAACTCTCAGACTCCTGTGTCCTAACCCTTTATCGACAATGAAAAGCACTAAACCCTATCGAAACAAATGCCATCCAAAGAGCATTCGCAACCTAAGGATTTGATACCTTCTAAATAGGAACTCTAGTCAACAACTACCATAACTTCACCATGAAAATAAAGCTCTTTTATCGACCCCTTACATCCTCATACGAAAAGAGACGATGCGACGCCACTTATCAAAGTTGTATACCGCTGCGTTGTAGCGTGTAGTGATATAACTCAACAGGAATGAGAAAGGCAAGAGTACTGATGGAAAAATTCTTTTCAGATGTTTGTTATGAGCAAGAAATCACCAACTTTTGAGAAGCTTTGAAGGAGACTTTATGCTCACAGAACTCGGCGATGCGGTGAAAATGATAGGAATGTTAGGGGATGATGGATGGGCCAAACATGTGACGAAGATTTGACTACTGATAAACGAGAATAAGATTAGAGAACAATGATAAAGGAACGCTTGTGCCTCCTAAGACAAGTACTTACAACATTGCTTGAATGTACCTATCACTCCAGCTGTGCTTCCAGCAGAGTACAATGTGACCCGCGGAATGATACTTGCATAAATTCATTGTTTTTTCTCTCAGCAATCGCTAGGTTGTTAAACAGCATATGTTTACATCCATATAATAACACACATACAACACAATCGTACGTGACGTTTTAGCCGCTGATCAGAGTCACATATAGTTGACGACTGCCTCTGCTCTTTCACAGTGGAAGGCACGTTTTACGTGCCTGTTACGGCTCTGAAGAAGGCGATAGTGCCAAAACCTCAGCTACGATTGTGTTGTATGTGTGTTACCATATGGATGTAAACGTATGCTGCTTAACAACCTCACGATTGCTGAGAAAAAAAACGACGGGTTTATAATCCAATGCCCAGGCCAATAGAAAGTCGATCCTGGGAACTGATACTTCCATAAGTCTTAATGCTTAAAACAGGCAACGAAGTACGACAATCGCGATCTACAGAAATGGATAAGAAATGAACTCTGCACAATTCCTCAACACAGGTCTTCCACGCATCCAAATAAATATAGTAATAGTAAGCTATAAATTCAACAGCAGAACCTATCGTCTACATTTTCAATCGTACAAACTCAGACAGCAAATCATACCTCTTACTCGTGCTTCGTGAAAAAAAGATAGATAAGCTTACCGTTGTAAAGCATCACAGATGTAATCAGGTTCTTTCCATATCGGCACTTCCAATTGGTGTACCTTTGACAAACGTTTTGCTATTTTCGAGGACATTACTGGTAAGGCGATTTCTCGACATGTCAACGGTCGCGACTGCAAAACTGTTGCTTGATTCTGGAAACCTTCTTTCCGCGAACTCGTTATAATCTTCATGGAACTAAACATAATTATGTACTGATGTGATGTAACAGGCCGATGAACATGGTGAGAAAAAGCCTCCAATTCGGGCGTTTTTAAAGTCCTCTCAACATCTGCACAGGCATTTTGAATAAAGAAATGAAAGACTTCTAAGACTGGTGTTTTAATAATGGCTGACACTAATGAAATGTATTTTAAAGGTTATGGGATAACAAAATAAGACCAAAAGATCCATTGGAATCACATTGAATTAATAAAAGCAAGAACTAGAAATGTTTGCAGGAAGCTAACGCTAAGTACAGAATATTTGCCGGCGAATATTTCTGTAAATTGGGCAAACATTTAAAAATCTCGCCACCTAGAAATATAGAGGTTTTTTAGAAACAATTACCACTTATGCTCCTAAGAAAGAATTGTGCTTTAAAATAAGCAGTCACCAATTCCTAGTTTGGGTAATGAAGGCGCGAATTCTAGCATTTCCTTTCTTGTTTGATGAAAATAGAACTTAGCTTTCGTAAGATTTATAATAAAAAATAAACAAGATTCTTCTAGTAGTAGTGACAAAACCAACTTCTTTCAGAAAATATTTGCTTAGAACAAGTTAAAAACATAAATTTTTCGATTAGAGGACCAGTCCAAGCATAATAGTTTATCCCGTTTTCAACGCGAGTGGATGTTCTTAGGCCTTGAAATCTGCAACCGAAAGTACGTACCTACTGCAAGACCACCTAAAACACAAGCTTTCTAATGAAGAACCGCAGTGATTATGAAAAATTTTTTTCCCTGCTTCTATGCTCCTATGCTTAAAAATGTCATAAATAACTGGCACTTCCAAGTAGAAATTCACTGCATATTTTTTATTACTACATGTTTAGTAATCTTATCGTAGTCATACGGCGTCCCTGGAAATGCGGCATACAACAGATGGTTCATTCCACCAGCAGCTCGAGCTGAGATAGAGTTCGATACCCTTATCTGCAAAACCAGAGAGTAAAATTACGTCACCGCATGCCCCATTTCTTAGTGTGGAATGAAATTGTAGGTTACCTTCCCGACAGAAAACTAATGGTGAATGTCAGGCTCAGTTGAAAAATGTGTGTTCAAAGATTGAGGCTTCGAAATTACACTAACCAGAGAAACACCGTAATTCAGGTCTAGATAAAAACAACCAGCTAAAAACAAGCAGTGAAATAAAATTTAGGTGAAATAGGTGGTTATAAAAAGTTGCGACTGCATTAAGTATAGAAACCAGGACTGATAAACAAGTTATAATCTGAAAAATAACATCAGTACTCGATTGAGTATTCTACTGATTGATATGGCTTGAAACAAGCAATACAAACCATGAACAAAACATGGCCATTTGAATATACTGTAAAATTCACTAGCCGGGATGTATTCCTCGAGTCGTCCACCGCTGAAAATACCATAAAGTTTTGGTCCCAGATGACGTTCGGAAAGAAGCGTGAAAATCACTGATTCAGCAACCAAATGGTTTTCCGTTTCGGGATTGAAATAAACTCGCAGTAAAACCTAAAAAACCCCTATATATATATATATACATATATATATATATATATATATATATATATATATATATGGACTGAGCGGTTAGAGAAACAGTGTCAGTTCCAATACGTGGAAAGATATTAAGAAACTGTATCACTGATATATAATTTCAGCAAGCATTCAATGGAATCCTAATGATGTGCTGAAGATGAAGATGTTTACTTAACCTTATCCGGCTCGTTACGAATTGGTCGATGTAGCTCGGAAAGTCGGCATAAGAATAACATATTGCTCATTCCACCTCTAAATTTTTGAATATTAACAGGTTAAGTAAAACTCAACACAACAGCACGATCTTTAGAAACTCGTGAATTTTTTATAAACAATTAAGGCTTCAAGCTGGCCACAAAATTTCCTAAGAGAATGTTCATCTTCCTTGTCTCGAAACTATAAAAGAGTATACATATGAATGGGCAACTACTTGGCAAGAAATTGATGGCTACACCGATGTGCCTCCGCCTTGTGACGTTAACTGGGGGTTCAATCGCTTCGTCGCTGTAGAGATTAGTGTCGACGAAAAGATAGATTCACGGTCTTCGAAAGTGATGAGTGTTACCGTGATCATTTGAATAATTTGAATAACTTGTTTTTAGCTCGCAAGAATTATTTACATTCTAGTGGTGCAGATTTTTTTAAACATAGTTTATTATGTGTCTACCTAAGGAAGTCCAATATGTGTATTCACATCCGAAGCCACATTTATCTCCCCAATAAAACCCGGACAAGTTTTCTGAAAAACATAACCCTAGGGTTTTCCGCTATTTTCGGCCAAAAAACTGATTCAAAAGAACCAGGAAATAAAAGTGAAAATGAAAGCTCTTTGAAGGGCGAAAGCAGTCCTCAATGACGCACAACAATTACAGAAAGACCTAAGAGTAGACTAAGGAGAAAACTGAAAGCAATAGTTTGCATCAGGCCACCAAAATCGCATTAAATCTTAACGTCTACAAAATCTATCCTATACGTGACAGGCCTGCAATCTCCCCATATTTCACACATTTCACCTGAACTCCATTAACCTTCTTGTAGACACTATAATGTCTTTAAAAATTTCATGTAAAATCTTGTAACTAGACCTAACTGCAATTTCCATACATATAGCCGGCATGAATAGTTTATTTATTTGCCCATCAATGAAAAGGAAAAAGATCAGAGCAAACTTGTCAGTCAAACAGGTGAAAAGTACTGCGTTGTCGATGTGTGAATGCTTTAATCCAGCGGGGCCATTTGATTACACAAATAACGGAAGTCTATGTTAAGCACCAATGAAACATCGAAAATTCCATGTAATGTAAAAGAAAGCCAAGGTTTGATATTAACTATTAAGCAAACATAACTTGAAGTCCTTCCCAGAAAATACTAAGAGAACGTTAGTGTAGGTAAGTTTGAATTACGACAAAACAATGTCGGAATAGCTGTTAAACTATGCTGTTAACAATTGCCCCAACAACAAAATTCTCAAACCGTTTGATTTTATAAACGTTAAAGTTACTTCACTTGATTCTACTGATGCGAAGTTCCTCAAGTGGTACGGTCTTCCATGCGCCGCCAAGGAATCTGAACACGCACAACATGATGGTGGCACCCTTCTGGAGAGCAGATTCACAGGATACCTCGCACAGAGCATGTGTGTTCGTTGTTTCAGTTCTTTCACATCATTGGCATCGGTATCTGGCTCCATTGTGGATAGTAACTCCTTCATGCCCCTAAACTTGTCTGCGTACTCAATTCCACTTGGCGAAGGTTATCAAACAAACTCACCGAAAGTGTCCCTCAGCAATGCTCATTTCTATCTCTTTCTTCCCTACAACGTTCTATTTAGTGAATGGAAGCACGCGAAAATAGCTAAAGAACAAAGCATTCAGTACAAATCCGGATTTAAGCAGTAAATTAACAAGCGCTCGTGTAATCAAAGTATGAGTGGAACCAACGATAATCAGTTACTTTCATCTGTTTTTCTATCTTTTCTTTGTTGTTATCAACGAAACTTTGCAACGAAGTTGAAAAGAACACCAACAGAAATCGGCAACACTTATAGAACGGTAAAGTTAGAGCGTTAACGGCATGTGGTTCGCATCTGTAACGTAGTAACACTATTCCTTCTGGAGTTTTCAATAGATATTGACAAAAAAGACAACTGAACGTATGTAGTTATGAAATGCATCCACAGAATCAAATTGGGATTTGATTTTGAGATTAAATGAAAGCGTACTTCAAACCGCTATTATAACGGTGGCTAAATTTTTCAATACATAGTATCAGAAAACGACTCACTCAGAAATCGACTTGTCACAAAATCACCACACAACTTTAAGACAAATCACGGTTACAGGCATTTAATTCCTCGAAGTGACGGCAACATAAGCAAATGAATGAATGAATCCTAGCAAAGTAGGACTGAAGAAATCGATCGTGGAGTGAGTGGCGGCGCGAAATGTGCCGGAGTATTCCATCCGAGCGCTCACGAGCGAAAGACTCAAATCCAGCACACGCGGCAAACCGAACGCCATTCCGAGGCGAACGTGGTTGAGAACGATCTCTGGGACTCGGGTGCGTATCGAGAGCTGTCGATTTTCCAGAATCTCTTCTACCACTGGACTAACACTTGTTGACACTAGGGCAAACAAAGCCAGACAACATCATTCGAGCAGCGAGATCGATTGGAATATGCAGAGGAACAAAGGTGCAATGTGCTTTCATTGCTTGAACTTGATGGGAAATTTTAGGTCTGCTTAAGCAATTTAGGCCCCTGTCGTTAAAAAAGAATAGGCAGTAAATAAAACGGTTAAGATTGTGATTATAACTGCAACCTTAGCTTAACTGGGTTCAATGCCGATTTCGGCTTCCCAGATCAATCCCGCTGACGGGTGATTGCCGTGGCAAAGATCGATAGAACTAGGTGAGAGACATAGCGCGTTCGTTCCCCACAGCAGACACCTGCGGTCCGCAGTTTTGCGAATATCTCAGCATCATTAAGGTTATATTTCGCAATGTATACCCTGCCGTTAAAAAAGAATAGGCAGTAAATAAAACGGTTAAGATTACTACAACGTTGCTGAGATATTTGCAAAACTCTGGACCGCAGGTGTCTATGGTGGGGAACGAACGCGCTATTGTCCTTTCCTTTAAACTTGTAAACTACAGCCGCAGCTTAACTGGGTTCTATGCCGATTTGGGCGCCCCAGATCAATCCCGCTGACGGGTGATTGCTGCGGCAAAAGATCGATAAAAATAGCTGAGAGACAAGCGAAACGAAGGACCCGCATGATGTGGTGGTGAACGCGTTACTGCCCAGAAAGGACAATAGCGCGTTCGTTCCCCACCATAGACACCTGCGGTCCAGAGTTTTGCAAATATCTCAGCAACGTTGTGGTTGTATTTCTCTTAGTACCCTGCCGCGAAATTATAGTTGGCAGAAAATAAATAGGTATAACATTGGTTAAGATTACTGTTTATATTTTTGTTACACTTCCACCTAGAAACGCATTTCACCGTGACTTGCATTCTTGTCTATCAATAAGACGACTCATACTGCAGCTTTTGTTGGTAAAAACAATAGTTCACTGCTTTCTTGATGAATACTATTATGTTTCAACAGTACAATTTTCTTTTAGAAAAATACTGGCTGACGTTCTAGAGGTTTCGCCTTCTTCAGACTCTAGAAATGCCAGATTAACTCACAATATTCTCAGCCCGAACACTTTCATAACTTCAGCAGAAAACTTGATACACAAGCTTTTATTCGCAAAGTAAACATTTTCTTTTAAACACTTACCGTTTTGCTCTTTATAAATCCCCCAGTTATTGTTGTTGGAGACCAGCCGCACAGAGTCTTACATGAGCCAGGAATGTCTCTGGTTCAGGTCAGAAAAAACAGCTTGATGTACAGCGTGTGGTCACGCTTGATCACAAGAAACTCCTGCTTGCGATTCGTTTCGCGATATTTGGAATTTATACATAATGCGTAAGTGGAGCAGGAAAACTTAAAAGGAACAAAACGGTGAATGTTCAAGAGAAAATGTTTATTATGTAAATAAGAATTTATGCCTTAAGTTTTACCTGATGAGGCTGAGAAAGTGTTTGGCTGAGTAGGTTGTAATTCAATTTGACATTTCGAGGCTCTAAAGAAGCCGTAACCGCTGGAACATCAACTATTGTGCGTAAATAAGTGTTGTAATAACAATAGTAGTAATTTCATTTTACTATAATTATTATCATTATGGTACATACCACTATTACTACTTTTTAGTAGCACTGGCTCGTTACATCGGTAGGCCACGGCGAGTCATTGTAAACGCCACATATGCATTCAGTCACCTCTAACGATGCTTAGTGAAGTCGAATGCATGGTGCATGCCACAGGAACTGATCAACGCCAGGAGAGCTCTATGATTATTTTCTATTCATTATTATCCAAAACGTTGGCCGGCATTGTACTGACTAAATCTCGTCGTTAGCACTCTCGACAGTGAATTATTTGGTCAGTGCTGACGTTAATAGAAAGTCGGTCTTGGGAAAGACAATATTGGTGGCAGTCAGTATTCTGTCCTGCAGGAGAAATTGAAGCGCATGTGGCCTGTTCACTTCAGGCCCTCTCTGCTATTACGCGTGCTATTTTTTTGCACGTAGCTGTGTAGACGAACATCAGTAAATGTTCTGTTACCTGTAATCCATTATGAAAAATGATAAGAAATGATTTTAAGAAGCAGTGCAAATACTGCTTATGTTTTCTACAATGCTAAACAGTTATCGCTGAATGTATCTCAGCCTAAAAGTGCGCAAAGAAGAAAATAATTGAACATCTAGGAAGGCAGGAACATTTTTTACGTCAAAGAAATAATAAAAAAGCCGCTTTCGAACTCCGAAGTAGCTTGGCGTAAGAGAAATTAGAAGTGGACGGTGGACGGAGATAAAAACTGTGTTCGTAAGTACGAGTTACCGGGGAGACCTGCTCAAGAAAGATCTCTATGCATGTCACATGTTAGTCGTAGTATATATGAGTTCAGAACACTATAATGATCTAAATGATTTCGACGTTGATCATTTCCTGAGAGATGCACCATGAATTCAACATAATTAAAGGCGCATTCGAGAAGAAGGCGCATCGTTAAAGGTGATTGAATGTATATCTAGCTTATACAATGACGCGAGGTGGCCGATGTATCAACCAGTGCTGCTATGCTCCCAGACAAGTCTGGTACTAATCTGCCGACTCCGAAAGGATAGAAAGCTTGGCGGGACAGGGGTGCGGGACTGAACCTATGTGTATTGCAGAGCGCCTCTGACCACTGTGCTACGCGCGTCCCATACTGGAGCACTATAAGATTGAGAGATTTACACTAAACAGTGTTTCTGAGATATATGCAAAACTCTGGACCGCAGGTGTCTATGGTGGGGAACGAACGCGCTATTATCCTTTCCGGGGGGTAACGCGTTCACCACCACACCATGCGGGTCCTTCGTTTCGCCTGTCTCTCAGCTATTTCTATAGATCTTTTTGCCACAGCAATCACCCGTCAGCGGGGTTGATCTGGGGAGCGCAAATCGGCATAGAACCCAGTTAAGCTATGGCTGTAGTTGAAATCACAATGTTTAACGTTTTGTTTTCTGCCTTCTATAATTCTCATGGCAGGTTACTAAGCGAAATACAACCATTGCTGTGGCAAAAAGATCGATAGAAATAGCTGAGAGACAGGCGAAACGAAGGACCCGCATGGTGTAGTGGTGAACGCGTTACTCTCCGGAAAGGGCAATAGCGCGTTCGTTCCCCACCATAGACACCTACGGTCCATATTTTTGCAAATATCTCAGCAACGTTGTGATTGTATTTCGCTTAGTAACCTGCCATGAAAATTATAGAAGGCAGAAAACAAAACGTTAAACTAAACACTGTATTTTTATTTAGGTTATGAAACGAAATGTAGCGCTATGGAGGTTAAAAAAAAACGGGAGGCTGAAAAGTAGAAAAGCTGTAATTAATTAAATGAACTCTACAGATAAGTAAAGTTTTGCGCAGTTACAAAGAATAGCAATGAGCTAAACGAATGCTGGATGATTACTTGCTTCGAGTGGCAGAGAAACTTTCAAAAATTCGGAAAATTTTTGTAAACATGAAATATGTTATCAGGTTCAAAAACTTCATGGATTCATTTCGCAAATTTTCCAGCTTTTTCATCCATTGGATCTGCTCGGAAACTCCAGCTTTTGAAACATGTCGATTTTTCCGCAGACATAAACTGAATGGTTATTTGAGGCGAACAACAGGCACAAAAAAAAGTTAAGCGTGAAACATACAAATGTACTGGACCACATCAACAAATGTAATTTCAAGTAAGAATAGATGAGATTAGTCATCCGTGACACATACGTGTAGTGGTGTTTTCGTCGGTATGAGCCATAGTTGACTCATTTTCTTCTCCAATGTTCTTTTAACAACAGAAAGTCTATTTTTTCTAATACATACCTCTTTATTCAATCATTGCTTCTTAGCGCAGATTTTGTGCCAGGTTTCCACATGAAAGCTAGTTACTGCGCAATATAATTTGCAAACGCAGTTTTTTAGAAGAATTCCCTTTTCCTAGTGCAGGCAAGAGATTGTTGCTGGTGTGGATAGTATTAAGATGTACGCCAATGTTAGAGCAGTACTAAAATGCCTCCAGTAACAAATACAATTACTTTTAACCGTTTTATTTACTGCCTGCTCTTTTTAATGGCAGGGTATGTTGCGAAATATAACTTCAATGATGCTGAGATATTTGCAGAACTCCGGACCTTATAAAATTATAACTAAAGTATCGGCTTAACTGGATTCATTGCCGATTTGGGCTTCCCAGATCAATCCCGCTGACAGGTGATTGCTGATGGCAAGGATCGATAGATCTAGCAGAGACACAGTTCGAAACGAAGAACCCACATGGTGTGGTGGTGAACGCGCTACCCCCCGGAAAGGTCAATAGCGCGTTCGTTTCCCCTCCGCAGACACCTGCGGTTCGGAGTTTTGCAAATATCTCAGCATCATTGAAGCTGCAATTACTTTATTCATCTGATTTGATCGGAATAGCTAACGTGAGTGATGGTGAAACAAACAAGATTTTATTTCCAGCTCCGCTCTTCCAGGAACGGTTGTAATGAGAATGTTTAGAGATAAAAGATATGAAGATAGATAGCAGGAGAGGAAAAGAGGTATATTTAATAAGCACTGAAAAAATGCACTCGGATCTCTTGAACTATAGTCGAGGCAGAAATATTAAGATGCAGTCTTTTCTGATAACATATTTCTTTATTCCACCACTTATTTATGATTTCGTTATAAAGCAGAATGTGATGATAGGAAGCTGACAAAGGCTATAATTTTATGCTTGAAATTCTATAGTCGGACACATAGTTGACATGGGTAACGGATATATCGCGACGGATGAAGAGCTAGCAACAGAAAGCTATTCGCCATATACATGTGAATTCGAGAAGGGAGATGACACAGCATAAATAATGCTTGCATTCATTTTACATGACCAAACGTCACTGGATCTTGACACAGATGCATTCCAGTTTTTAATGAGCTCGACGTCAACATCGGGAAGAAGTATGCAGATCATGTACGAGTTGTCGAGTTAAGTTTTCGATGTCGTCATGTCCACCTCTGAATTTTTCTGTTAAGTTAACTATCAACAATATTTTCTTTCCCAAAAATTAATTTCATTCCTTCACTAGTTTTTTATAAGCTAGCGACTTTTTTGGCTTCATTCTAAAATGTCTTTCCGAAATCTTTCTTACACTACTTCCTTTCATAAATCCTCTTAACTATCATTGGAAAATAAAGCGTTATTGGCAATAGCGAACGAAGTAGAAAAATGATAATAGTGTATTGTTCATGGTCAACAGAGATTTAGCATGGTAATACCTAGGAGTGGGCCTAATTTTGGAGGAATAGGAAAATGATAGGTCCCACCGCGATCGTATCAATGGGGCTAGGTGGCATACAATTGTTGCACCTATACGCTTTTCTGCCAAATGTTTGCATTTAGAAAGGGTTCAGTTCCAAACGCTCATGGATTTCTCAAGCTTCCTCTGGAGGATTGCTCATAGGTCATTTTCACCGCCGCTTTTCCGCTAACGCTAATACAGAGCTTGCGTTAGCGATACAATATCCTGAGAACAATGCACAAATGGAAGCAGTTTCACCTGATATTGTGCGTCTTAGAACGAATATCGTTGATCTTTTGATCTGCGTACGCGTCGCGTTGGTTTAGTGGTTCGACATGACTGTTCGCTTCACGCTGTGTATTGGTCATTGCTGAGAAAAACCGTCACATTACCACTGCTTAATGGCTGTTTGTAAACTCAGTAAAAGCGGCGTTAAAGTAAATTAAATCGATCCACAACGAAGGACAGCTGTTCACTGACTTTCATCTCTGAGTTGTCGAACAAATTTGTTAGGTGACTGGACATTGTTTGAGCATTTATAAGGTGCATACGGTGAGAATCGCTCTCTGCAATAATCTCTATTAACAAGAGCATAACAAAGTAAAGATCACAAGCAGTTTTTATTATTCTAAATAAGGCAATGCAGAGACCAGGTGCACGTACTCTGTAGATTCCTCCGTCTTTCGATAGAGGCTCTGCTTTGTAATAACAGTTGTGGTAGGCGTGTTATCATTGGCTTCCATAACCGCCACTGGTGTTGTTGTTGCATATTGATGAATTAATTCACGGGGATTTGTGATCAGATAACCCGTCTTAGTGTCAAAACGATACATTGGATCCGAAAACACTGATGATGCCACTGAAAACAAACAAGCACACGCTAGATAAACTCTTTGTACGCGTCGTTTTCTTGTTCAGCAATCGCGAGTTTTTTTAAACAGCATACATTTACTTCGATAGAGATGTAAATATATGAGACTTCATAGAGATTCTCTATGGAAGTACATGTATGCTGTCTAAAAAACCTCGCGATTGCTGAACAAGAAAACGACGCATTCATATTCCAATGCCGAGGTTAATAGAAAGTCGATACTGAGAACTGTAAACTCTGTGCCTTCGTACCCTTTAGTTCACTTATCTGCATTGAGGTCTCGATAAATCTCCACAGACAACTTGTTGTCATCGAAAGCAAAGTTCATTTTCACTTTGTGTATCTTCTTATTTACAAAGAACTAAACTATCTACTAATTAAGGTTGTGGTTTTTTCCGCTATGTGGTGCATCAAATCGTTAAACTCTGTCAAACATTGTGTATTGTCCGAAACAAGCAACGCTTGCTGATTCTGAAGTAAATTCAGTTCTCTGAGGCAACCTAATATTACAGAGACTGCAGCATTCCTTCATTTCTTGTACAGGGGTGACCCTTCGTGCTGTGAAGACGAAAATCCGTGGGAAAGACCCGTGATTACGCTGATCGCGTTAACACAACCCACAACGGGGTGACAGTAGCGTCAATCTATTTTGCTTCACTTCATATGCTCTATTTTTAAAACTTAACATCGAACGTAAAAATGACGTACCACTCATTCGACCGTCGTTACCAGGCCCAATATTTCCATTAGAACCGTATGGATGACCAGAACGAGAGTCCAGCGTGGAATACGGATAACGCCCAAGACCGCTTCCTGGACGGCCACTTCCTGGACCATTTCTAATATTGTCTAAAAACATTAACAGGTATGCAAAGCCAGATAGTAGTACGAGTAAAAAAAGGTCAGAAAAGATTGTTTAACAAACCACCAAGACCAGTTGGAGTCCCACGATCGCTGCCGTAACCTGGAATTCCTGGACCGCTCCCGGTATACCCTCCTCCTGAGCCACTACTGTATCCGCCAAGGTTTCCAGGAACAGTTCCATGTGGGCTACCTAGACATTACCGAATTATGACGCTTAAAATTATTCTTACTTATAATACTAGAGTCATTGACGACGATAACATTAAAGACTTATAACAAATCCAAATTTCTAATAATTAGTCGATCTTCTGATACGATCTGAATCATCAACGATAAACCAAAGTAGTATTGTACCATGAGTTCCTCTTCCATAATTGTCTCCGCCAGCCGGACTCAAAGCATCTGCTCTTGAATTGCGACCACTTCCCGGTCCACCGAAATCGCTGCCATAACCACCCTCACTTCCAAGATGGGCTAAAAGCAGCCTTTTTTGAATATGTCTTCTATTAATCTTCTGAGTTTTTAAAACATAATAAAATTCTAGTGGCACCATGTATATCCATGAAACAACATACATCCTACAGTGTTCGTCCAGCTTTTCTCGTAAACATTAACACCGTCATGACCCTTTTGCCCACGATCAACGTGCGTCAATTGAGTGATGGTAACTCTGGGAGACAAGTCAACTGGGCGCCTGCAATGTTACGCTGATTTCGTCTCGCACTTTCAAGATGAAATTTAAATCTAAAGTCTATACTAAAAAAAAATGAGACGGACCTTTTAAGCTCGATACCATCGGCTGCTACCGTTCCGTCTCCTATGGGGGAGTAGTACAACCGCCTCGGCTTTATCCCCTTAGGTAGCTGACTGGGGTCAGTTATAATCTAAATTTTAAAAGTTCCTCTTTATTCATTTCCTTTTAGTTTCTTTATTTTCCGAGATTAACATTTCTTCATCGTCAATAGTCGCCAATAGTGAGTCTTTCCGGAAACGGTCCATTTGATTTAGCTCAGTTTTGCACAGGCATGCATCAAGTACATTGTGAAGCAGCAGATTGTCGCTATCAACCCACCATCTCCTACCTATCTATTAAAGTTATTCATGAGCCTTCACATTAAGAAAGCTTACTTTCGCAGCCTTTACAGCCCCGTAAGAGCATTAATACTGGATTTCGGTATGATTTCAAAAATATTGCAATTCTTATTTAAAACAGATAAAGCATATAAGCTACTGAAAGCTGATATGCCAAACCCCTAAGATTATGGGAAAATCAAGCTTTTTGTTTTCATCGAGAGCTGATTCCAGTAAAGTTTTACACTTGCCAGCAGTTCCAGCGACGTTAATTACTTCTAGATGAAAGTCTGGCACCCTCACACATTCAAATATTAACATTTACAGAAAAGGTAAAGCTACACACTCTTAAATCCTGAGAATCAGTAGGTATAATTTCAGATTTCATTATATATAGTATCAGAGAAAACTGCCAACATTTTATTATTTAATAGCTTTTATTTAAAGAAAAACTTTAAATTTAAAGTGGCATGTGTAGCGCAGTGACTGGAGGCCTCCTACAAAACATATGGGGTCGATACCCACGGTCTAGTCTCACCAAGTCCTCCATCCTTCCGAGATCCGCAAATTGGTACCAGACTTGTCTGGGAGGATAGCAGCACTGGCTCGATACATCGGTAGGCTAGCGCGAGTCATTGTAAAGGCCAGATATGCATTCAGTCACCTCCAAAGGATTCTTTATGATGCCGAATGATTAGCGCATTCCTCAGGGATTGATCAACACTGAGGGCTTTATCTTTTAGCTTCTTAAAGAAAAATTAAATTCCGCATCAGCCTCCTGTGAACTGAATTTGAACTTTCTTGCGACAAAAAATGTACATTCGATTTTCTCGGAAACCAAAAACTTTTGCTTCATCTCATTAAAGATTGTCTTTGCAGAAAGTGGGTTACCTCTCCCCCTTGCCAATGATGTGTGGTCATTTCAACTCCACTTCCAGGACGATCACCGAAAGCCTGGAACCGACTCTCCTCGGACTTCTGGCGTTCATTGCGCTTAGCAGCCGCATGTCGTGCCGTCTCAAAACGATTGTAATCGTCCTAAAATGACTACCCTTACATTCTAAATCAGTGCAAAGTGATAATGGATTTGTCTGCTGCCTTAATTCTAATCTAACTTAATTTTCATGAGTGTCCCTGAAAGCTTAAAAATGGACGCCACTCACTGAGATGGACCGGTGTAGATCTACGTTCTTGATTTAGTTTTCGAATGCTACCCAAAACAGGATCTACGTATACAACGAACAACTTGAAAGAAAGTAGATACTACAAGAGCGGAGAATTGTTTAGAAAAAACAAGGGTTTCTATCGGCTAGGCGAACTAATCAGGATCGTTTGAAGCAAAAAGATTTTCGCCTAACATTTCTAGTTGTGCTAGAGAAAATCTTACACTTAGCCTTTGATTAGTCTGTTTGTAACTTAAGCGAAAACAGTTTCGAAACAACTCGTACAATTTCTGGGGCTTATTTTTAAATTTCTCTATGAAAAAAGTCGCTGATACTTTTCTATCGAAGGAGCGAAATGATACGACAACTTTTGGCAAAAGTAATGGCAATCTTAGAATTTTAACTTATTATTTGCCGCCTACTCTTTTTAACGGCAGGAAATATAACTATACATTGTGAAATATAACTTCAATGATGCTAAGATATTTGCAAAACTCCGGACAGCATGTGTATGCGGTCCGGAGTTTTGCAAATATCTCAGCATCATTGAAATCTTAGAATTCAAATTTGCTAGTGTTAACAATTAGTGTAAAAGTATACCAAACATTCGTTAAGGAATCAATCTACGGATCTCCCTTATATAAGGAAACCCGAGCCGGTTAGTCGCGAGGCTAGCATCTCCGGGTGGCGGATAGGGGGTTAATCGCGGACCAAAAGCGACCTTTGCTTCCCTGAGACGCGGATGGATCAAGGAGGTGGTCTCCCTGTTTCTGCTGCGCCAATTTGGCACACACTTTCTGTATTTGCTAGGCGTATTCATGCTTGACTGTGTGAGTGCGTTCCTGGTTACGCGGATTGTATTCTACGATTACGGTTCGGCCAAAAGCCTGCAATCAAGTGCCTGGGAAATATATGGGGGACGGTTAGGAGTCGCCCCCAACAAACAAGCTCCATATTCACTTCGGGAGAGCCTGGCAAGCACCCCGTGAGTATACCCAGCCTTCACGTTCAGAACCCAGGAAGCTATACGTGAGCATCAAAATGCCAAACACAGTAAAAGAAAACGGGCCTTATTCCCCTGCCCACGAAAGAGCCCCCAATTTCGCAGTGTTGGGTAGGACGACTACGGCGAGGCTGCTAAAATCTCAGGGCCAATGGAAGCTGCCTGGATTACAAGAACAATGATGAAGATCTGTACCTACATTGCACGTACACTTGCCTCCGACTCCTCGATAGAGGACTTGCTGAGGATGAGGTACGACGCCGTCCATTCAACGCCATCTATGACACCGGGGAAGAACTATTCCTCGGAACAAGCGACAGTAGAGCAGTCGGCGGTGTGGGCGTTCTCGTCAACACGAGTTTGTCCATGAACATTGATTCATTCGAACAACTAACAACCCGAATCGGACGTTTACGATTAAAAAGACGTGGATCAATTCTGGCTTTGACAATCTTCGTCGTGTACGCGCCGACATCAAACTATGACGAAGAAACCGAAGCGTTCAATATGGACCTAGAGAAGTTTTAGAGAAAAAACCACACATACTTCAAGGCCATCATTGGAGACTTTAACGTCAAGAAGAACGTCACATTGCGACAAGACCATACATGGTAACTCGCAATTCCAAAAGTCTCCCCCTAAACTCTGGACGTGGGAGTCTCCCAATGGAGAGTACCATAAAGAAGTACACCGCCTCACAGTAAATAGAAGGTCTTGCCGAACCAAGGAGAAAAAGCCGCTAAATTCAAAAACCGAAGTACCAGAGCCACCGTAAACTGGGACTTACTCGATTCATTGGTGGGCTGTTGGGAAGATGCCGCGGTCGATAACAACGACGAAAAATACGATAGGCTCATTCAACATCTTCACTTTACCGCTATGAAAGCTGAGAGTTCGAAAGTCACCAAGAGACGTCTGTCTCCAGAAACGCTCGAATTGATACGTTAGCGTGGAATCGCACGAGCTGCAGGCAAACGCGAAATAACGTCCGAACTTGCGAAACAATGCACACTGGCGATAAAAAAAGATCTTAAAGAGAGAAGGGCAGCAGTAATGGTCGAAGACTCAGAGGTTGGGAAAAACATTCGCAAAGCCCACCGAAGCTTCGCCAATTACAAGAAAAAGATGATTGCACTCCGACGTCCAGATGGAGCAGTTACTGCGTACAGAAAGGAAATTCAGAAAATCATTCACGAATATTACTCAAATCTCTTCGATAACCACGTCTACCTTCCTTCATACGAAATAAAGGAGAATGGATATGTTTTACCACCGGTTCTACCTTCCGAAATCCGCCATGCCAATTCGTCGGTGAAAAATCGAACAGCGCCATGTCCGGAGAGGTTAAGACCAGAGCACCTGAAGAACCTTCCGCCAGTCCTCGTAAACACACTGGCTCGGCTCTTCACACGTTACCTGTCTGAATGCAAGGTGCCTACTTAGTGGAAGACCAGCAAAACTGTGTTATTGTTCAAGAAGGGTGACCTACACGATATCGGCAACTATCGCCCAATCTGCTTGCTGTCTGTCGTCCACAAACTGTTCACTCGAGTCATCCTCTAAACAGGAATGACAGAACATTGGACGGAGGACAGCCATGTGAGCAAGCAGGTTTTCGAAAAGGATTTAGTTCGATGGACCACATCCACACGATGACAAGGCTCGTCGAAGTATCGCGAGAGTACAAAAGACCGCTCTGTTTCACAAAGATTCTTCGTGAGCTGTACAAAAATTCCACAACGAAGATATCACCATTCTACAATGATGTTAATATTGAGGTTAAAAGAGGAGTTAGACAAGAACAAGATTCCTTCTCGCCAAAATTATTTACCGCCACCCTCCAGAACGTCATGCAAACATTGGAATGTGATAATATGGGAGTGAAAATCGATGGTCTGCAGTTACATCATCTTCGCTTTGCTGATGACATCGTCCTTATAACACCAAACATTAGCCAAGCGAAACGAATGCTTGCGGACTTTGACAAAGCTTATGGAATGATTGGTCTTTAACTAAATCTCACAAAAACGATGTTCATGAAGAACGAAATGGTTTCGTGTGCCCCATTTATGGTCAACGGAACGAATTTCTGCGAATGCTCCAGTTACGTCTATCTAAGTCGGGAAATCGACATGATGAAGGGCTTATCTCCAGAGTTTAGCGGAAGAAAATGAGCAACCTGAGAAGCTTTCAAGAACATCTAGATTGTAGTGAAGAGGACAAAGAACATCCGACTCCGTACCCACGTTTTCGACTCAACAGTACTTTCTGCCTTAACCTATGCGTCAGAAACCTGGTTGCTGTGTAAACAGGATGAAAGATCACTCAACGTTATCGAGCGCGCAGTCAAAAGGGCGATGCCTGGAGAATTCTGTTCCACACAGGTAAGGGAAGAGATCGGAAGCTCCGACCTGCGTCAACGATTAAAAGTCAAAGATGTCGTTCCGTGTCCCAAAGTGTGGAAGGTAAAATGGACCGGACACGTAATGCGTTTGAATGACAACCGATGGACAAGGGCCGTTAGTGACTAGATTCCTGGGGATGTCAAACGTACTGCAGGAAGACCACCGACACAATGGTCGGAGTTGTTTACAAAGAGCCTAGGAGAAAGATATGATTCTCGACGAGTCTCTAAAGCGATCAGAACCCATTGGGCTGCTCTTTCACGCGACAAGGAAAAATGGAAGATTTACTGGCGCTCACTCGAGTCGCTCGATTATCAACGGGACTACAGGTGATACAGGTGAATGGTGAAGGAATCGATGACGTAATTTCGTGCAGAAAAATGACTCAAAATTTTGCTTCGAGCTCACCCATTTTTTTGAAACCCTGCTTTATAAGTTAGCACAAAAACACAGAAATTATCATTAAGAATATTCGTAGAGACACATGAGCCAAGGAGGAAGAGGAATGCACAAGAGGAGTAACCTGGATTATCGCTCACTGCAGAAAAAAACAGAAGTACTCACAGGAAAGATCTTTTTAGAAGAGGTATTTTTGAAGATAGGCGTTCGCCATCACAGTCGTAATGGGAAATTATTTATATTCATACCTACCATTTCGCTAGCACAACAACAGAAAGAGCTGAGTGAAGCGCGAATGTTTTGTTCGAATCATTACAGCAGCAGATTCTCCGGCCACCTACGCACAACATGAAAGCAACTACCCCAAAACAATAAAAGCAAACAGCTGTGGAAATTCTTCCGCTTTGGATTTTCGGAAACTCAAACAGGTTTTGAGAAAGTTCATAAGCATTATGAGCTCCATAGAGAGTTCACTGGGTCAGAGAAGAGCCAGCTTAAAGATGGAAATAACTAACACCTTTAGATTTTGGTAAAAAGATCTCGAACAGAATCTTATGGATTTCTAGTGGTTGTTCTTTGACATTGTTGAATAACAAAGTGGGAAATCCAACAGCACTGTAACTTTACTGAACTGGCTTGACTGTACTAGTTAGCTTCTTTCTTATTATGAGAAAGCACCAGAAAAAACTAATGCGCCAATTACTAAGAACATTTATTTTCTTGTAGCGGTATAAATTACGTCAATCAACCTGGCAGAATACTTTGTTTTCACATACCTTTTCAAACCTGTTTACACTTATTATGGCAAATAGATGAACACTTAAGCAGACATCTTTTGCTTGTAGAGCTCAATTGATTTGGACAAAATGTGATTAGGAATGCAGTGATATAGAAATTGCACCAGCAACATTTTTCTTGGCGCATACCTTGTGTTTTCCTAATGAAGAATAGGCTGGACTTGACGTACGATCGCGGTAGTTACTCAAGTTGCCGGAGCTACCGTACTGAGACATTACGTTGTGTGTCTGAAGCACAGGCAGATACATTTAATTGAAAGAAAAGATAGAAGTGCTATACAAGGAAAACAGGTAAAAAATGTGGTGCGAAGGAATTTATTATAAAGATTATAACCAGATTGCTAAGGTGTTGACGTGGTAGCAGGGAAAAATGGTGCCATGAATCAGCGTTCATAAACGGCTTGCTTCTTCCACTTGTTAATACTTGCAGTTTTCTTCCCCACTATGAAATGAAATAAATGAACTACATTCGATCGACCGAAGCGAAAGTTGACCACGTTGGATAATATGGATATCCATCATTCAGCAAGTTAAGATAGAACTTTGGTTTCAGACGCAACTAACAAGCTCACAACATCCACTAAGATTCAATAAGGTTGAACAGATTTTTCTAAGCAACTAGCTCACAGCATTCGCTGAGGTTCAAAAGTGTTGAGCAAATTTTTCCAAAGATTATCTGAAACGAAACATGTACAGGAAGCAAGCGGTGGTAGCTCAGCTTGGCAAATTTTATAAAGAAGGGCTCAGCAGTGTATCAAGGTAAGGACCGGAAAGTTAGAGATTGATTTTATATTAGGGCAACATGTACGTAGGAAAAAGGATTTCGAGAAAGGCAGACAGATGGTGATCGACTAAACGAAGGGGTGGATAGGGTGAGAGCGGTGTAACATCGCTCTGAGAGGCCACGTCGCATATGTCTCTAGATAAACTTCGTTACGCATTTCTAACAATGGTGATTCAACTCAATATGACATACATATTCTGTAGTATATGTCAGTGAAAATCACCTTACTAAATGGTATGGCATGACAAGCAGCTTGAATTTTCTTATAGATAGGGACTGGTCAGCTTTCTGCTGTAGACACACGCTTATTTAGAAAAAACGTATTCAATCAGAAAACGATAACTTCCACATATACCAAATCTTCTACTCTGTATTACTGTATATGTACTGTAAGGTAAGTGCACCACTGTCAATAATATTAATTCGATGAGGCAAAAAGGAGGGTAAAGAATTCCGTGCCAATCGCTTAATTAATGTCCCTTACTTCTCACAACATATGACACGTTTTACAACGAGAATTGTGAACTTGACTTGATGTTCTTAAGCTAGAAATGTTAATAATTCAACTGCAAAGAAACTACGAATAGCATTTTTATTTAATTATCAAACAACTGGTTGCGAAACCGTAAAGGAAGTGCTCGCAATCTTCAGTACCTGTGGATTATTGTTGACAGGAGAAAGAGATCGCGCTCGTTCTTCATCGAACCAGCTTACCCCCTTCCGACTGGAAAACAAAAGTTGGATTTGCATGCGAGCTTTTTTGTTTTACTATCTTGAATATTTCTGGATTGATACTATTCAGTACCTTTTTAGACTTCCGTAGGGACTCAAAATTGTTGAACCTTTTGAAATTCCTCCTCTTTTCATTGTTGAATTGCCGCTGTCCAACTCTAACATTCCATAAGGTGACGAGGGAGAGACAGCTTTGTAGCACAGACCAGTACCGTCATCCATTCTGCTGTTGCCTGTCAGCCCAGGAAAATCAGATGTGAAATTTACCCCTAGAGGAAGGAAACGCATCAGTGATGATACTGCAGAATTTGGAAGCTTGAAAGAGAATGCTTACTCACTATGGCCAGTAGGGGTAACAAAAGGATCTTTAATCATCACATCGCTGGAATTCATAAGCTTATTGCAAGAAGTGTTTCTCTAAAATTTAGGGCATTTCATATTTATTGATGATTACCTGATGTGCACCCATAGGGGAGACTTACACCAGAAAGACTGCCTTCACTTCTGCTGTTCCACATATGAGAGCTTTCGTCACGACTCAGGCTTCTGGTTTGTATTCCATGTACTGCTTCTGGTTTCATTCTAGTTGGTGCTTAACAACGAAATAGCAACGAAGATCATCGAACGCTAAGGAGAGTTTCCTATTTCCCATAACAACAATAATAATAAAGCATCTGAATTACAGGTTAGTTCATGATCCTTGTAGATCAAAACATGTCTGTTGTTGTCAATGTAACGTTGGAGTTCACGATCTTGTGTAGAAGACAACTCGTGACGATTCAACAGGTCACATCCGTTAATGACAACTTTGTCCTAAAGACTGGTGTCAACTTTTTTCCATATACGTCTAGCTTATATGTCATTTGTCTTACCGCTGTGTCAATGGAGAGTGCCGTCGACATGTTTTATTTTTTGATCCCCTAGGAAATCTTCAGGTTGTCGACTACCACCTTGTTGTTGTTCTTCGATAGCAGCCTAAAATTTTCAAATAGAACAACTAAGATTTGGATAGCATTTGAAATCCCAGTTAGCGTTCAATGGCACGAAGTTGGATGCTTTATCCACTATCAAGGCGGAACAGATCGTTCGTCCATAAATAATCAGTCACTCCTGCGAGTAGAAAATATTTTGGTGAGATAGGTCTAAAAGCCAATGCGAACATGAAACAAATCGCATTTGTTCTCTTTATAGAGGAAAATGAAAAATAACGAAGAAAAAACGAGTGAATGGGGAAACAATGCAGCTTGCTGACCATATTTCGAGGCGGCGAGTGGAACACATGCATGACTAGCACACGTCAGTTGGCTAGACGTCCATGAAATAGTACGTGTCGTCGCTAGTTGAGAATCTGCCGAGCGATTTCAGTGTAAAGTGATTTTGTTTGTTCGTACTAAAGATCTCCTGATGGGCGCTCTTGAGGCTACAGAAGCTTTGCTTTCACGTGCGACGAGAAACGATCTGGTTGCTGATCGGGTTACTGGGGGCAGAGCATGAAGACATTTTGAGAGGCAATACAAACATGATACCTAACCTATTTTTGAAATGAGCGGAAGTGTAAGAACATATAGGAAGGCATCATCGGCCGTAAAATCTGTGTTTTTTTGCATTTAAAGAAGGATAAAAATCTGACTGTGAGCTTCTAAATCACAATCGACGTGTTCTGCTGTATCATTGCGACTGGACCGGCGATAAGACAAAGTGCATCGAACTGCATCTGTCGCCTAAAAAAAGAATGATATGCACTGCGGAATACACACGGCTAAGCAAAACAATACTTTTTTACTACTTTATAAACATTAAGGAAATCATCTCCTAAGCAAAGGCGAAAGACTAAATTGCTTTCTTTTTTGTTGTATATGGCCGTTTAAACGTGGAAAAACGTTCCTGGAAAGCCAAGACGTTGCTCGCTCTCGTTAACTTTGTAAATTCGTAAAATACTCAGCTTGTGCTAATGATTTCTGCGACTTCGATTATATATCAGCGTAGAAAAATTGACGTCAGCACTTGATCACCTAAACTGACGCGATCGTATACCCTCATATCAATGCTACTTTTAGACTTTTTTAAAAGTTTTGTTGCTTCACTTTTCTAATCAAGTGGTAAATTCACAAACACAAATGTGCACAGCACGAGGTCTGTGGAAACCTCTTCACTTGGAACTTTACAAAAACAACCGTTTTTTTGAACGAATCCGTTCGTTTGGTTTGAACCCTGTGACGACTAGAAAAATAGTTTCTGCTTTTGTATACTAAACTACAAACCACAAAGAACGCCTCAGTGAAATGGTAAACCAATGAGGATACTTCAATATGGGTTATCTAGAATGACTATGGGTAAATAGAGTGCCATCTAATCCCACACCACCGGCATAGAAAATTTGTAGTAGTTAATAATAGTCTGAAAGTACATAGATGGTGCACAAGTCTCCAGCTTTCGATGAACTATGGTAACTTATTTTTTTTACTTATTTTGTCTTCAACGCTTGCATACGAATAGGTTGGTATACCCTAGAATTGCCGTGCACCGGAAAAATCCAGGTGATCGTCATTGAACGATTGTTTTTATGTCGATGTTGATGTCGATTAGTTGAACATATTAAAAATGGAATTTGTAAGACAACCAAAGATGAAGCTTACAAGACACTTGGCTGATCTGGCACTGTAGGAATTACTGTACACTTCGTCTTAGTACTTGACCACATTCTATAATTCCTCCACTCGTATGAGTGGTAGCGTAGTAATTCTGCGATCCAGTGTCTAAGACGTTACGGTCCTGGAGCAAAGAGAGAAAACGCTTAAAACTATAGCTCTCCTAGGTTTTCTATTTACTAACGTTTTACAAAATCTTTAATGGCCTGGGTTTGGATCACTCAGAAAACCCTGTGAAAGACGTTCCGCCGTGTGTTAACAAATTTTGAAAGGAATTAATTTACTAGCCAGTTTCCATTTAGTTCTTGGAAGAAACTTCTTTTTAAGATCAAGTGTTTTGCCGTAGCCAACACTGAACTCTGTAGAAAGACAAGAAGCATTTATCACAAGCACTAAGCTCCGCTTAAATGTCCTGTTTCTATTTAGCTCATGAAATACGCTCCACTATGCTTTTTTCTCTTTTGCTTCCGTCAGAAACGTTTCGTGTTTCCCGTTTGCAACACTCACCATTCCGTTTTCATTAGCAAGTTGGCAACAAGCTGAGTCATCAGTGATTTTCTTTCCGCCGTTTATTTTGCCACGTACAGCCTTTTTGCTGACCTTTTTGCGATAATTCGAAAGACATCTTATCCGGCACAGATGTTGTGATCGGCGTCGGCGGGGAAAAGCTGTCTTTTGCACTTAGAAATATGCAGGAACCTTTATTTCGTACAAGTTCGTCGGTCGATAATTTGTCTGATGACTGAATACTATTTAAATTTCAGTTGCTTTGAAGAAAAGTGGCCATCATATAGAATTCGCAGACATAAAAAAATTTTTAGAGAAGTAAACTTAACACAGCTGCAGAAAATGCTATTGAATACTGATACCAAATGGCTATGTTGTGGGCCATTGTAACGTGTAGTTAGTAGCATATATACGTTATCCGAAAGCCATAGAGCGAGGTCTCACCTACGGTTACTTTATGTCCTCACGCTATCAACTTTTCTAGTTGTCGAAAAATTGTTTTTTGTTAAAAATGCATGTACTGTAGCCGAAAAGAATTTAGTCCAGGGCCGCATTCGCCCACCATCCAAAATTAGGCTTCGGTGTGTTGTTGAGCGGCCTAACCTACAGAAAGGTTCTCGTTGAACCTTCCTGTATTTTCCTTTAGAGATTTTAGAAAAAAAGCCAAAGAAAAGTAATGGTCTAATTAAAGTCTAGCACTACGGTTGTTTTAGCTTTCTTGTTTTTCAGTACAAGAGTCATCAATTTCATTAACAAAACATCAAAAATCACTTTATAACGGTGCATTGTGTTATAATATTTAAATAACTTTATTGTCTGTTGATGAAGGAAATTTAACACTTTTAGGCTTCATATTTTGCTTGTTCTATTGAAAGGTTTGAGTTTCCCACACATCTATGAGGGAAAGTTGTTACACACGTAAACGTGAAAAAAAGGTTGTTCTTTGTTTTATTTTATACAACCCGTCTTCACATCTACAGTGCGAATCCCAGCAGTTCTCACATTCTATTCGCTTCCTTGTATTCATTATCTACGAAGGTCTTCCAACTTCTACATTTGGTTTCGGCTCCTACTTCACGATTTGAAATCAGTGGTATAAGGAGCGCGCACTAGTAGTGATGCCGGTCATCACGATCATAGTGCTATTTCGACTCCGCTCCGGGCTAACCAAGTCTCTCATCCCTCTGAGAACGAGGACTTAGCACTGGACTTACCCAGAAAAAAATCACTTTTTGTAACACACTAGGGAATGATCCGACCCGGTTATCCAAGGACTCCAGTGGGAACCTACTCGAAATGAAAGTAGTCCACCTGAGATTCGATATACGACCGTGACGTCTACTTAGGTTGAACAGAACAAACCTCCTTTGTTCGTATTTTTGTTGAGCAAACGCGAGGTGTTACTATTCTTTGTTCACGATTAAGCTGACGTTTCGGCGGATTTCACCTTCTTCAGACCCTGGAAAGGTCAAGTTGATAGCAACTCACTCGGCCAGACGCCTCCATAACCAAACAAAGAAACTCCAAACCAAGATTTCAATCACTTTGAACACAGCTTTGCACACTCACCGCTTTCTATGAGGTTTCCACTAAGTATGTCACGTAGAGACCAACCGCACAGAAATCACGTGGAAGTATAATGTGCCCCTCACATCAGAAAAGCAGTTTTATATACTGCCCTATATCACGCGTGATAATGAGGCATTCTTCCCTGCGGTTTATTTTCGGATTTCTGGAATTAATCCAGACTGCCTCGAGAGTTTTTCGCGCCTGTGTTCTTGATTCGCGTGCGAGGATCGTGACACATACTTCGAAGTCGTCCCCGTTATGTCTCTGGGTCCTATGCGTGCCTAGCGGGGTATTTGGTCTATTTTTGCCGGCTAGGTGTTCTTTCATGCGGACACAGAGGGATCTAC